GACATCACTCACTCCATTGAGTTCATTGTGTCTGACATTGCATCACTGAGTGATGCAACCTCAGCTTGCGTCATAAAGGCTGCATCCAGTTACTATTAAAATCTTTGGCCAATTTATTTGGTACACTGTTAAAATCTTTAACCCAAATAACTTATAACCAATCACATGGCAGTAACTTGGCTGTCCCCCACAGACAGAGCCAAATCATTCTGCCAGAAATATGAATAAAAAATATTTCCACATTTTGTCTTTTTTCCCCTCACGTTTATCTTACCGTATTATTTTAGTTTGCAGGATGAAAAATGTGGGCGGTGCGGTGGTGCAGTGAGTAGCACGTTCGCCTCACGGCAAGAAGGTCGCTGGGTTGAGCCTCGGCTGGATCAGTTGGCATTTCTGTGTGGAGTTTGCATGTTCTCCCCGTGTTTGCATGGGTTTCCTTCGGTTGCTCCGGTTTTCCTCACAGTGCAAAGACATGCGCTGTAGGTGAATTGGGAAAGCTAAATTGTCAGTAGTGTTTGTATGTGAATGAGGGTGTCTGGATATTTCCCAGTGATGGATTGCAGCTGGAAGGGCATCCGGTGCATAAAACATATGCTGGATAAGTTGGTGGTTCATTCTGCAGTGGCAACCCCTTATTAATAAAGGGACTAAGCTAAAAGAAAATGAATGAACGAATGGATGAATGAGGATGAAAAATGTACAATATAAAAGAACGCTTATTATTTAAATTGTTCTATTTTGAGAGAGTCAAAATATTGCATGTGCAGACTTTTGTTATCTTGCATTGTCTACAGAGATATTCTAAGTAAAAAGGATAAAACATTTTTGTGTATATGCATAAACATGAGTAGGCGAAACTAACTTTGACAGGCTGTATTTATCAAGACATTCAATTCAGAAAAAAATGGAAACAAAAATATTCTATATTAGGTGAGATGTTTTATTTCAGTTTGTATATATTCCAGTCATGTTTGTGTAAGGATAATGAAAAATTAAGTTGCAATAAGTTATGTGAATCAAAGAAATGTTTACTAGAAAAAATCAGTTGAGATGATAGTTAATTGTGAAAACCAGCGAAGTTGAAAATAAGTTAAAATAATACCTAGAAAATTTGAGTTGAGTGAACTGGAAAAATGTCCTTGAGATAGCAGAACTAAGAAAGAACTAGTGAATTAAGTTAAGGTAACTAAATTTTTTTTTAGATATAATCTGAAAAAATTATTTGACAGATTATTTTAACAGAAGTTAGAATAAAAAGAAAACTGTATGTAATGGAGGTCCAAAATGTAGATTTAATTAGAATAAAATTTGATTTTGGGAACTACAAAATTAAGTTTTATTTAAGTTGCTAAATGTGGAAACTAATACAAATGTCAGTTGTGAGAGCTTGGGAAATGAAGTTGAGAAATAGATCAAATAAGTTGAAATAAAACCTAGAAAATCAGTAAAAACTTTTAAATTAATAATAATAATCATATTAAAATTTATTCATAGAGCACTTTTTTCAGACACAAAGCACTACAAGGTTTACAAGGCAAACAATAAAAAAGCAGAACAATAAAACTAGCTGGGCTTCCAGCTAACTCTATCAAGCCTCTTCAACTGCTCCAGAATGCAGCAGCCACAGTTTTCTTCAATGAACCTAAACGAGCACATGTCACTCCGCTGCTAGTCCGTTTGCACTGGCTGCCAGTTGCTGCTCGCATCAAATTCAAAGCTCTGATGTTTGCCTACAAAGTGACCTCTGGCCTTGCTCCTTCTTATCTGCTCTCACTTCTGCAGATCTATGTGCCCTCCAGAAACTTGCGTTCTGTGAATGAACGTCGCCTCGTGGTTCTATCCCAAAGAGGGAAGAAATCACTTTCGCGAACGCTCACGCTCAATCTGCCCAGTTGGTGGAATGAACTCCCTAACTGCATCAGAACAGCAGAGTCACTCGCTACTTTCAAGAAACGACTAAAAACTCAACTATTTAGTCTCCACTTCACTTCCTAATCTGCAATTGCCTCTTTGAATATCACACTAACTGTACCAAAAAAAAAAAAAAAAAAAAAAAAAAAAAAAATACTAATACTACTAATACTCCCCTTCTTAGACTTTACAGACCTGAAACTTGCCTACAGCACTTATTCATTGTTGCTCTTAGTTGTGTAAATTGCTTCCTTGTCCTCATTTGTAAGTCGCTTGGATAAAAGCGTCTGCTAAATGACTAAATGTAAAATGTAAATGTAAAAAACTGTAAAAAAAACAGCACAATAAGACAATAAAATATGAACTATAAAATCAATAAATTGACAAACATAATCAAAAAGCAACGGTAAAAAGGCGAGTCTTGAGAAGTTTCCTAAAACAGTCCAGAGAAGTGGCATTCCTGATGCTGATGGGTAGACCATTCCATAGCTCAGGCGCACAGTACGAAAAGCTCTACCATACATTGTCTTTAGTTTACAACGTGGCTGATACAGCGCAAGTGCATTATTAAGAATTAAGAAAACAAACAAAAAAAAATTGAGAAAAATTACATTTAGATAACTTTAAGTTGGACTAAGTATAAAGTTTTTGTTGTAGAAGTTGAATAGGCTAAAAACAACTATGGCATGTATAACAGAAAACTGCTTGTGTTGTGGTCTACTGGTAGGTGAGACTAAAAGTGACCCAAATTTGACAGTATCCAAATTTGTTGCTGTCATGAATTAAGTTGAAACCTTATCAACTCATTAAAACAAGTTTAAGTAAGATAAAAGCTTATTTTTGATGATGATTTTTGTTTTTTACAGTGTAGACTGCCTGGTCTCGTTTTCTGCTGCAACATGGCATAACATGAACTCATGTATTCATCCTGCTTTATTTGAGAGATTCAGCCTGGTAGGGGGAGATTTCCTGCATTAGCGTATAATTTACTGGCACAAAATTACCAGTGTGTTTCTGTAAATATACATCAAACACAATTTTGAAGTATTGTAATCTTTGTTTTCTTATGAATTGTACTGTCAAGCAATCAATCAAACAATTATTTATTAATTAATAAATTCGTTTTTTAAACAAAACTGTTCTACTCCTGGCAGTTTAAAAAAAAAAAAAAAAAATATATATATATATATATATATATATATATATATTTATATATATATATATATTTATATATATATATATATATATATATATATATATATATTTATTTATTTATTTATTTATTTACTGTAGGCATAGTTTGTCACAAACATGTCACAGCCTATAAAAGTATTGTTGACCATGTTCATCACTTTTTGCCAGGAGTGCTCAAACTTTTTCGTATAAAGGGCAAAATATCATTGAGAGATTTGGGCCGAAGGTAAATATACTAAACTATGTTACACTATATGTGCCATGGGTAATTTCCTAATTTATTAGTAAACATTTGATTAAATCGTATTAACTAATGCAGTATAATGTTTAAAACTAGAAAAGTAAAGTTCGTAGACAAACTTTATGGTGGCTTGAGAAAGCTTCGACTGAAAGTTTGAAGTAGTTTCAAGTTGAAATAATTTAAATAGTTTTTAAGAAGTTTGAAACAGTCGGCATAGAGAGATAACTACATGTGTTAGCATGTTTCTAGTATGAATTGGCATGCTTCTTGCTAGGCGGTTGATAGGCGGTTCTTAGTGCTTGTTAAGGTGTTGCTAGGCGGTTGCTATGGTGTTTCAAGTGGTTGCTAGGCGGTTGCTAGGGTGTTTTGACTGGTTGTGAAAGTGTTGCTAGGTTGCTAAGGTGTTGCTAGATGGTTGCAAGTTGTTGCTATTTGGCTGCTAGGGTGTTCTGAGTAGTTGCTAAGGCATTGCTAGGGTGTTCTAGGTCATTGCTTAGGTGTTGCTAGGTGGTTACTAGGGTATTCTGAGTGGTTGCTAGGTTGATTCTAAACCTTTGCTAGGTGGTTGCTAAGGTGTTGCTAGGTGATTGCCATGGTGTTTTGAGTGGTTGCTAAGGTGTTGCTAGGAGGTTGCGAGGATGTTCTAAGTGGTTGCTTGGCAGTTTTAAAAATAAATTGCTATAATTCTAGTATGAATAAGTATGTTGCTAGCATGTTTCTAGCATAAATTATTAAGTTGTTAGCATGCTTCTAGTATGAAAAAACATGTTGATACATCTCTGCTTTATGCCCAGCAGGAGAATGCATCATGCCACAAAGCTTACATCATGCCAGTCTGGTATCTTTAACATAACACTGTACTTAAATGGCCCCCACATTTACTAGATATCCATCCAATACAGCACATTTAAGCCACAAATTATTATGGAAATTTTTAAGGCAAAGGGGTCCAGCAAGATGTACCTAATAAAGTGGCCGATTTGTGTACATTGTCCTCTGGTGCCCTCTGCCAGTAACAAAGCAGAAGTAAAACATCGCGTAATGGACAGAAAGGCCTCAACCACACCGACAAGCATGTGGAGGATACAGTGTTGCACAAGATCACCAGCTTAGAGTTTCTTCCTGATGTTTTTGTTTCATGGTTCTGGTATGAAAATGCTGATCTGAAATGGCCACCTCGTCCCTCCTTCCCCCACCTGAGCATGAGAAGTGTCACCTTCCTGTGTTTCAGAGAAAGAAAAAAGATGATGCAACGTTGTAGTAACACCCAAACAAAGAGGGCGCTTTTTGCACACAACAACAACCGCAGCTGCAGCAGACACATGATGGAAAAAAGGTGGGCTGTGTTTGCTTTAGATGTAAATTGAGGTAAAGCCACAGCACCTCTGATTATACTTTTAGTTTGACCATCATAGTCATGGTTTATTCAGGGTAAATTAACATTTTAAAGACTTGAAATGCATGTCAAACAAAGAAAATAAATACATTATATTAATTTGATTAATATTTTCGAGTATAGCCACTACAAAAATCACATTCATGGCAGGCACTTAAAAATAGAAGGCATGTCTTTCACATAACTGCATTTACCTGACCACAATGAGTATATGGTGGCTAATGTGTTGTAAATCACATCACCATACAGTAGCTGTTACGGTTACCGGTACACCTTCTTTGCAAGATTTTGTTTCTATTGTTTGTAAGATGTTGGGTTAATATATTTATTTTATTTTGGATGGTTTATTTTGACAAATTTCCCTAAATTACTTCAGCTTTTTACTAGTGTACTAGATTTGGAAAGTACTGTCCATTCCCAGGAAATGATGTTCTCTCGAATCGTTCATTAAAGTGAACCGGTTCAATTTCAGTGATTCATAATACACAGCTAAGAAATCATGCGCTCCCCTCCCCAAACGAATATAACCATACGACTAAAAGTGTTTCCGAGCAGAACTGTCCGAATTTTGCGAATGGACCACAGTCATAAAGCTCCTTAAGAAAATAAACATGATTCTGTTCAAAGGAATCAACTTGACTCGACTTGAATCACTGAATCACTTCCTTAAACTCATTCATTCACTTATGACTTACTGTACAGTTCATCTGACGTTCGAGATTCGCTTCTAATTCGGGTGACCTCCTCGAGATGTTTGTTTGCAAATTCGGCGTTTTTATCGTCTTTGTGGTGAGTAAGTCTTTGTATTGTTCAGCTTTATGTAGTGTTTTTTAGGAGAAACACCCCGTAGACTAAAACTACTTTGAATTGTAAACATGCGGACTTGCAGTCTCCTATAAACTTTGTACTGATAGCTGTTACATAAAAACAAAATACGTAGGAAGCCGACTGATTAAGAAAGTTAGTTAGAAATATAGTAATCAAGTAAAATAGAAATATTTATACTGTAGTAAACAACTGACTGTGTTTGTTTCACTTTCGATTTCTCAACAACACGTTGGTGTACCTCCCAAAGAAGTACATTTTAAAATATTTAATGATAATTACCCATCTTCAGAGCCTCCTTGACAAATTTAATTTTGCTTAAAATTCTGTGAGGTTGACTTTGAAACGACTGCACATTTATTTTTTTTAATGTTTATATAGCAGAACCTTTTGGTCTGATTCATTCGAGTGGTTAAAGGTTTCTCTCAAGTTGTCCTCCCAATTTCCTAAAAATGATATTTTCTTTGATTTATTAGGGAAAGATGTTAATATTCAATTTGTATTAAATAATATTATCATTTTGGGGAAATTTTATATTCATAAATGCAAGTGCCTTAAAACAAAACCACTGTTTTTAGTTTCCAAAAGGAATTTTGGTTATACTGTAAATCTTTAAAGTTGCTAAAATCAAAATGTGGAGGAAGACTGTTAAGTTTATTGAAAAAAAAAAAAAAGAAGACCTGTTAGTGTAAATGTTTTTTTTTTGCTTTTAGTTATGTTTGTGTGTCTATTTTATGCTTTATGTGTATTTATTTGTATTATCATTTTATTGATTTGATTTTTACTGCCTCCTAACGCTGCGGGGCTTGAACCAGCAACCTTCTTGCTGTGAGGCGATTGTGCTACCCACTGCGCCACTGCACTGTAACTTTGAATATAAAACATTATAATAGGCCTGTCTTAATACCTGGTTTTGTCATACGGTCTATTGTATCACAATATATTGCGATAAACTATATTATTGTCATTTTAATACCATTTTATGCCACTCATTATATGATACCATAATGACAGTATAATTTCATCATGATGCAAGATCACTCTTCCAAAAAACACATCATATTTTGTTCTTAATAATATTTAATTACAGTTATTTTAACAATTTAATAATTAGGCACTGAAATCAGACTGTAAAAACGGTTATCCTAAATAAATAATAATAAATGTGAAAAAAAGCTACCAGAGGCTGCGATATCTGGTACCAGATCTATTTTCAGTTGACAGAAAGCCACATAAAAATATACTATATTAATTTATAGTAAATACTATAGTATTTTTAACTATACAGTCATGCATAGAAGTGGTTAAAGTGTCTTATTTGTTTGTTTAAATTTACAGTTAGAGAATGTTTTTTTTAAAATAGAGGCAAAGATGAACTTGGGCCTAGAAAAAAAGCTTTGTACTTGAGCATTGACATACAAAAAGCTAAGTTTGTTTGTAGGTATGTGCGTGTGTTTTTGAAAGTAGAAAGATTTATATTTGGCTTATTCAGTACTTTAATGTTACCCATTTATTTGTGAAATACAGTTTAATACTGCAATTAGTTACATTACAACCCTTCCCTGTTAGTCATTTTTTATTTATTATAGTTATTATAGGTGTTATTATTATTATTATTATACCCTCATTGGGACTGATGCCTGTGTCCCTAACCCAACATGCTTGAAAAAACTTAAAATAAAAGATTGCAAGTTTAAGTTAACATTTTATTTGTGAAATGCTTTTCCCATGTTTTAGATGCCCACTTTGACTTATAGCTGGCGCTTGAGACGCGATGCCTCCTGTGAGTTTGGAACTTACCAGCATGAGAGGAACACATGTTGCCTCTGTCCTGCAGGTAAGATAATGCATAACTTATTATGCATACAGAACTACCCCGATGTTCCTCAGAGATTATTATTATTATTATTATTATTATTATTATTATTATTATTATTATTATTGGCACTGGGTGGTGCAGAAACACAGTGGGTAGTTCTGTTGCCTCACAGCAAGAAGGTCGATGGTACGAGCCTTGGCTGGGTCATATGCCATTTCTATGTGGGGTTTGCATGTTCTCTCCATGTTGGCGTGGGTTTCCTCCGGGTGCTCCGGTTTCCCCCACAGTTCAAACACATGTGTTATAAGCGAATTGGGAAAGCTAAATTGTCCATAGTGTATGCGTCTGAATGAGAATGTATGGGTGTTTCCCAGTGATGGGTTGCAGCTGAAAGGGCATATGCTGCATAAAACATATGCTGGATGACATGGCGCTTCATTCCGCTGTGGCGACCTCTAATTAATAAAGGGACTAAGCCGAAAAGAAAATGAATGAATGAACTATTGGCACTGAATTATGAGTGTACTTGGTAGTCCACTACAGTTTGGGCGCCCCTGTAAACAGTCGTCCCGTCAGTTATCAAAAAGAAATAAAGTGTAAAAGTTACAGTATGTTAGGGGCTTTTTCCCCAGTTACTGCCTGGCTTTAAATAATTTACATGGCTGTTTACCAAATAAAAAACAGGGACATGAAATAATTAATAGCAGTTAAAATAGTAACTGCAGTCCATGTTACTTAGAGACCACTCAGATAACATATCTAGACACAGTGAACATTTTACGTTCTTACAGGTTGGTCTTTTTTTGACCTGATTTTTTTTTTCTCAAAACAATTTTGGTTCCTGCTGACTGTGGATTGATATTACGATTAATGCTGACAAGGGCGAAAAAAAAAAAAAAAAGAAAAAGAAAGAAAAAAAAGTTTTTCTGCTCAGTGATCAATCAGACCCATTTTATTGAATCGGTTATTCATTCATTATTTTCCTTTGACTTAGTTCCTTAATTCACCAGGGGGCGCCACAGCGGAATGAACCGCCAACTTATCCAGCATATGTTTTACACAGTGCATGCCCTTCTATCTGCAACCCAGTACTGGGGAATAGAGGAACAGAGTACAGAGGAAACCTACGCCAACATGGGGAGAACATGCAAAACTCCACACAGAAATGCCAACTGACCCAGCCGGGACTCAAACCAGTGACCTTCTTGCTGTGAGGTGACAGTGCTAACCACTGTGCCACCGTGTTGCCCCCGATTGTGTTATTACCTTAATTAAAATTTAAAATGAATAAAATGCAACAGGATGTTCCCATAGTATATATGCAAAAAAACTGCATGTGTTTGTGTATTACAGGATTCAAGGTTTCTACACACTGCACAAACACAGACAAAACAGAATGTAAGCAATGTGAGGATGGCTACTATTTAAACAACAACAATAATGAAAACCAATGTCGACCTTGTAAGATCTGTGACGCTAATGGTAAGCCTTAATGTCTTTGCCTTTGCCTTGTTACTGTAGTCTGTTGAATATCGATTTGCTGCAAACTTTTTTGATCTCCTGTCAGAAAAAAAATGCAAAGAAATGATAAAGAAATCATCAAATGCTGTTTAATAAATACACATGTTTAGCAGCTGGGCAGAAGCCAGTTAACTAATTAAGAAATGAATAATCAAAAGTTCACTACTGAATACCAGAGATGGGCTGGAATTATGTTTCTTGAAGTATGGGCATATAATATAGTTTTTTTCAATGGTTTTGCCACAAATTTCCGAAACCTGATGTCAATTTTCAAAACTCTAGACACAAAACTCTAAACCAGGCATGTCCAAACTCGGTCCTGGAGGGCCGGTGTCCTGCAAAGTTTAGTTCCAACCCCAATCAGACACACCTGGGCTAGCTAATCAAGCTCTTACTAGGCTTTCTAGAAACATCCTTGCAGATGTGTTGAGGCTAGTTGGAGCTAAAAGCTGCAGGACACCAGCCCTCCAGGACTGAGTTTAAACAAACTTGCTCTAAACAATCTCTACTTTTAAAGCAGGCTCTCCAGTGTTCAAAACACTCCATGTTGCATTAATTTCTTTAGCGAAGTCTTGTATTTGCAGGATCATTAGTTCACATAATCCTTTTATCATACAGATACTGCAGGAACTTTAGATCACTCATAAACAAGATACACATCGTTTCAATAAGCAATCATTCAATATTACTTTTTAAAAATATATGATACAAGTTTCATTATTGTTCATACATAAGTGTAGAGGGATTAGTACAGACAGTTTAATCACTAACCCGTATGCTATATGGCAACATATGCAAATTACATTTGGATTTCACATACTGTATATAAAATGTCATATTTGTCAAAAAATTGCAAAAATCACTGTTTGCATGCTCACACACACACACACAAACACACACACACACACACACACACACACACACACACACACGCGTTAAAATACAGCCATATGTAAATTATTGGTAGTATATTTAAGTAACACATATATGTACATTTTTGTAAGACTAACTATTGAAAAGAATGGCTGTTTTAAATTAAATCCATATGAACTGGTATGCCACATATATTATTTGCATATACAATTGCATATACCCCCTGTATTATTAGCCCCCCTGTTTATATATTTTTTCCAATATCTGTTTAACGAAGAGAACATTTTTTCAACACATTTCTAATCATAATAGCTTTAATAACTCATTTCTAGTAACTGATTTATTTTATCTTTGCCATGATGACAGTAAATAATATTTGACTAGATATTTTTCAAGTCACTTTAATACAGCTTAAAGTGACATTTAAAGGCTTAACTAGGTTAATTAAGTTAACTAGGCAGGTTAGGGTAATTAGGAAAGTATTGTATAACGATGGTTTGTTCTATAGACTTTTGAAAAAAAATATAGCTTAAAGGAGCTAATAATTTTGTCCTCAAAATGGCTTTAAAAAATGCTTTTATTCTAGCCGAAATAAAATAAATTAGACTTTCTCCAGAAAAAATAATATTATCAGACATGCTGTGAAAATGCCCTTGCTCTGTTAAACATCATTTGGGAAATGTTTAAAAAAGAAAAAAAAAATCAAAGGGGGGCTAATAATTCTGACTTTAACTGTATTTATCAGATTTCATATATATATATATATATATATATATATATATATATATATATATATATATATATATATATGTATATATATCAGATTTCTAATTGGGATCTGTGTTTCTTTTCCATCTGGTCCTGTAGATTTGGCCACAGATTCTCCCCTTCACATCACAGTGGGGTTTTCATTAGTCAAAAATCTTGGAAAGAACCTTCTGTCAATGCGAATCTAGGCCTGACAATGGTCTGCTGTGATACTGTTATTGGGCTTTCTTGCATACAGTAATGTCAAGTATGAAAGCATTGTCTGTAAAAGTGGTGCATGGCACATAAAAACCAAAAATATAGAATAGGGATAAAATCTATAGATAATGTAGTCTAGTTGGGTCATCTTTTGTGGTGACTGCTGAAATTTGATCTATCTTGAAACTTTCATCATCTAAATATGCAATATTGTACATCGGTTTCCACGCATCAAGATTAATGATTAGAGTAATGCAACAGTTACTTATTATTTTAAGTGTATGTATTAGTTGATAGCTTACATTGTGTTAATTAAATTAATACACAGTTATTTCAAATATAATATTCGGGTTGCATTTTAAAAATGGGATTAATTTGATGTTTAAGTGTGTTATATTGAAAAGGTCACTTTAGTTCAATGAACAAAGTATTTTTGACTTGTGTGTATTGTGTCCAAGCGTTTGAAAAAGAGTTTAGAATTTAGCAAAAATTAGCAATTTTGCCAATGGTTGTGAATTTTGTGTTTAGAGTTTTGAAAATTGACACCAGGGTTCTGAAATTTGTGGTAAAATGATTGCAAAAAACTGTAATAGGGCTTATAAGAAATGGGTTTATAAGAATAAGTATGGGCAGATTTTAAAATGTACTGATTCACTCCCTGTATCAGCAAAAATGAAGGAGATTGAGAAATGTTCCAAGAGTTCAAACACAGTCTGTGGGTGTGAGGAGGGTCGCTTTTGTGACAAGGACAAAGACTGCAACGTCTGTTACCCCTGTGATCCGTATGTATTTTTCCATCCCCCCACTAATAATAAAGAAAAAATATCAAAAATTACAATGGAGGTCAAAATTGACCATGAAGATTCTTTTTCTGCCATGCAAACCAAATAAAATCTATGGACTCATAGATGAACAATATTCAAGAAAAAAATGTCATCAATGCTGCAATGTTTAGAACTTTTTGTATGAATAGCTGTGTCTCATTTCAGAGGCTGCATCCTCCAATGGATATTTACAATAATGTGTGAACATACACATACATGCCTATTTGTATTTCCAATATGTGTAATTCTAGTATGTACAAACATCCATTTTTGCATCCATAATTTTTAAATATGTTGCGTGTATGTCCTATTTTAAATATTTAAAATCCAAATATGAACTTGTGTATCATATATATATATATATATATATATATATATATATATATATATATATATATATATATATATACATATATATTAGGGATGTAACGGTATTGTAAATACCGTCATACCGCAATATTAATTTTTTTCGATATTACCGAAGTCGCATGACTCGGTAAAACTATAGGTCTTCTGAGAAAATTTGCTCAGGCGAATGAAGCGAACGGGAGATAGCGAAAACTACAATTGCCATCAGCCCATGCTTGACCATCATCCCTTGCGGTCTGTTGTCGCTACAGATCCAGTAATGCGGAAATGGAGTGTGCTGCTAGAAGCGGGGATGAAAAGAGCTGGAAAACTCTAAAGCAGGTCGCACACCAGAAGCGGCGCTCGGCGGCGCGCCGCGCAGCGCCATGTATTTTAGAATTCTAAACATAGGTTTCTATCAGGATACACACACCGGCGCCGCAAGTCGGCGGCGCCCGGCGACGGCTCAGGACGCAGTTCATTTTTCAGCCGCGCCACAGAGCGCCATCTGATTAGTTTCATGTTAAATATCATTCGAATGTGCGCGTCTGGTGTGTGATACTTATAAACTGTCATGTACATCTGAAAACGGAGGCGGGGCTGCAGACATTCGCCTCTCTGATTGGGGCTTTTCCTGAATATTAAGTAGCCTAACACACAGTTCAGTCCTGCATTATCTCCGTGTAAGTTCAGACTTCGCAAGTTTGATCAAGGCTGCAGTCTCTTCTTCTCAGTTTGATATGGAAAAGCAGATTATACCGAGGACACGGGTAAATCTTCAAAGGGAACAGTGTACTTTATAACTTCATTCACATCACCCTGGCTTCGTTGTTTCACTTTCTCAACAATAAAATGTAAACATGATTTAAGGAACTGCCTATTTTCATTTTAATATTAGCAACTTAGACAGCAGAAATGTTGAGGCGTTGTGCTGCATAAGATGAGCGTCATCTTCACTGTGTGAATATTTATAACAAAACGGAGCCGATAACAACTGCCTCCTTTCAATTTCAGTGAAAATACGAAACACAGCCTCTCTTTTGCTGAGTATCAGTTTTAAGAATCGATAATGGCCATTTTAAAAGTATAACATACAATAAGTTTATACATTATAGGAAATAAAGGCAAGCGATCAGTCAATATACAGAATGTACGTGGTTACATTAATCATTAACTTATCTTTGCGCTCTGCCAAAACACGTTACCTGAGAACAAGTAATAGATTCCAATGACCAAAGTCAGGGAATATGTCGTTAGATAAAGACAAGATAAATGAAATATCCCGTTTAATAAATATAGTGAGATTAGATCCAGCGGGAGATGCTTGATGAGAAGTCCGACTAGCAGAGCTCTCATCTGGGTAGATGGGCTGAGTGTGATTAAATGTTGAATGTGATGAGTTTTCAACAATACTAAATTGAAACTTTATTATAATATTATAATTTATAATAATTTTTTGTTATTAAAATTGAAGTTCCTATTTCAAAGCTTACAGATAGATGGCTAATTTGTATGTCATTGACACTTTTGGCACTTTTTTGGAGTATTTTCATAAGTTTTGTTTTTTCCTGTAAATGATTCAATAAATACCGTACCGTGACATTCATACCGAGGTATTACCGTACCGTGAAATTCTGATACCGTTACATCCCTAATATATATATATATATATAATTTTTATTTGAAATATTTCTATAATAATAATAATTTAATACTTACTGTATATGGTATCCCTGTGATATTGATAATTGATATTTCTTAACTGAAATTTCTTGCAGCAATTTGAAACACAAATTATCAGACAACAAACAGACTAGTTGAAAATCTATGGACATAATAAACGATTCATTGATTAAACATTAAGGTCAGATGAATTAAATGGCAAATGTATTAATGTGAATGATAAAAGATACAAATCCAAAGTTTGATGGTGATAGCTTAAGTAAAGGCAGTTACTGTGAATGAAACATTTAGTTAAATCAAGCACTTATTTTGTGTAGTGAAAATAATATTTAGTGTTTGTGTATTGTACTAACACAATAAAAAAATATGCTGAAATGTTTGAAAAAAGTGCACTTTTGATCATCTGCTGTGATATAAGAACTAAGAGTTTTGAAAATGTAGCATTTAATTGTGAAAATTGGGCCAAACCAATAAAAAAAACTAATAAGCGGTACAACAATTTGAAATAACTTTTTTCAAATTGATTTTAAAACTCATTAAGCAATCTGAAGGCAAAACGAGGTTTAAAGAAGTTGGAAATATATTTTCTTAGATCCTGCATGTACACATAAATATGTTAACTGTCTATAAAATCACTTTTTAGTAAGACGTGTCATACTCTCTTTGTTTTAACATGTGTTTAGATATTCAAGTAATAAAGTAAACCTAATTCAGACATTTAATCCACAGTTCTCTTTTAAAAACGTCCTGCTGTTATCAGCATGCAATGAATCTTTGAACATTCGAGCCTGTGAAGGATCCATCAATTGTATCCTTCATACCTGAGAAATAAAGGACGCATTTTAGGATGCATTTGAAGGAGCCTTCCATTTTTTTAATTGAGACAGCCGTCATCGCGATGCAGCACCCTTCGAATGCATCCTTTAGAGGATGCAGCTTCTGAAATGAGACACAGCTTATATTTATATATATATATATATATATATATATATATATATATATATATATATATATATATATATATATGTAGTATATATTTTTATTTAATAAAACAAAAAGAAAGTACGATTCATAGCAATCATAAGTGTGAACGTAAGCCTCATAAGAATCTGCATAGCAAAAAAAGTGGAAAAAAAAAAAAAGTTTAGATATGTTTTATCATTTTCAGTTATAATTAAGTATTTATACATGAACTTTCAGGTAATTTGTCCGTCTTGTGTTTGTTTGCCGGTTGTTAACTCAACAGATGTCCAAATGGTGTGAAAGAACAATGCACAGAAACCCACAACACAGTGTGCCATGATGCCAAAGACTTAACTGGTATGTTCATAGCCAAGAGCTACTTTACCACTCTTCTCAGTACGTGTTAAAATGCCTCTTATTTAAGATCTTATCTGCACATGCACACACACACACACACCATAGACTGTAAAAGATATGGAAGTAGTATTTGTGATGTCATCCATAGGTTTCTGAAAAACGCAACAGAAGCTACAAATAGACATGGTCAACTTTTGCCATTTTGTTCATGCTTCATTGAGCTACAGACACCTGCTAGAATTTTGCTTAGACGGGCTTTTCTTTGGGAAAAATGCTTAATAATTTAATACCTGCGACTCGTTTGTGTTCTGACCACATGTGTTTGGTTGGTATACTATATTAATAAAGTGTTTAGACTTCAAAAAACACTGTTGTAACACATCGAGCGGCTAAACGTTTTACTACAGGAGTAAAAACGCAAATTACTTTCAAATACGTCAAATATAGGCTGTGTTAGTAAATGTAAGGCTAAATAAGTATATAATTTCACTCACCTGGGAAACGGAGGCCACTTGAATGGTTTGTGAGCACAATACAGTGCACACAGCATGCCATATCATCTGATAATTGATTACTGATTATTACGAAATAATTCCAAAAAGAAACTAACTGTGTAAAGCCACTTAAAACAAAACAAAAATACAATGTAAATGCAGAGTTCAGTGGCTATTCAGCCGGAATCAGCTGAGGTGATGAGACAGCGAGCAGCAAGACCTAGTTGTTGGAAAATAGATGAGTTATAAAAAATTCACCCCACTAACAGCTGTCATGAAGGGTAATATTAGCTTTAAGAACCAAAATAACACCTTTTTTTCTGCTGTAAAGTTGGCCATTTTAACAGTGAGGTCAATAGAAATTTGCTCTATTATGGAGCCAGAACTAGCGGAATAGCGGACAAACACACACACACACATACACATGCTATAAGCAGAAACTAAAAAAGCCCTCTAAGCCTATGTGGAATGAATTCACAATAAACTTAAACATGTTAATGGACTAATTATATTTGTTGTTTTTTCAGGAACCATTGCTGCTGTTTTGGTGCCACTCATCCTAATAGCTGTTCTAGCTTTTATGATTTTTATATGGAAAAAAAAGAAGTTTTGCTTTCAGGTCCGCCCGAGTACAGATAAAGTGCAGACTGAGGTAATTCCTCTTATTCTGAGCATTTATTGCACCTTTGTGGTGTCACTGCACAACTGCATGTTCAGTTGTTTGTGTCTGATGAATTTCTTTGATTTTTCTTTTTTTAGGAAGCACTTCCTCTGATTGGTAAGTTTATTTTTTTGCTTCTGAGAGCTATTAGATATGTTGGCATTAAAAGTACATTTTAATACACTATAATACATCAAAGTACATTTCAATGCTCTAATAAATCAAGACATATGTGAAACCTGACATTCTCAGCTGTATCCAACTGTAAAAGTCATAGCATTTGCTGAACTAATATTAAATTCATTCACAATTAATTTTGTGTTAAATGTAATATATATTAAATGGCTCTTTTTTTGTCGGCCATTTAACTAGTAAATAATAATAGTAATAATACTACAGTTACAGATTTCTTGTAAAATAAAATAATACATTTTATAATATTATAAAAATTTAAATAAGATAATACATTAGTAAATAAAAGCAGGATAATCTGTCTTTTTTTCTGTGTAGATTTAAGCCCTCACCTCCCAAAAATTGCTGATGTTCTATGCTGGAAAACAGTGAAAGAAGTTGCGCGCCGCAGTGGCATGACTGCAAAAGATATTGAGGAACAGGAGATGAACCACCCAAAAGACGTGAGAGAACAGACTTTTGGGCTTCTGGAGGCTTGGTCCCAGAGACAGGGATTAGATAAAGCCTACAGAGCTCTCATCACCACTCTGCAGGACATCGGGGAAAAAGCAACAGCAGATAAAATCCGGAACATTGTCGAGGCTTCATCTCAGCCATAAACTGCAGTCCAGAAGCACAGTGTTAAAAATGAAGCACTTTACCTCGTCAGACACTGTGAAAGACATGATAGTTTTATAGAAAATTACTAAGTTTACCTGTTTTTAAACATTTTCAAACTAGTTTTGCAAAATATGTGCCAAAATAAGATTTGTCACCAAAAATCATTCCATTTGCTGAAACAATAACAAAGTTGTGGCCAAATTAAGACTCAAAATCAGCCAGAGTGGGTGAAAACATCCCCAACAGCAGCACACAGGTTATTATCCAAAACTCTTGAAAAATTAACTTTTTCTTATGTAACCCACCAGTCCAACTGCACCCAACCCGCTCTGGGCTGGGATCAAACCAGTGAATAGAAGTTGGTTTCTCTAACAAGGAGGCTAAAGACCATGGCCTCTAGCATTTTTTGAATATAGTTGATCAACATAAATGTTAGTAGTAGTTAATAGTAGTTTATGCATTCAAAGTCATATTTATGTTGTTTTGATATATTTTTAGGACTAAATATGTAGGTTTCAAAAACCTGAAATGATTTTGAGCAGTCGTACTGTAGGTCATACAATTGAAGGGGGTTGAAAATTCGATTCAATTCAATTCAGCTTTATTTGTATAGCGCTTTTACAATGAGATTGTGTCAAAGCAGCTTCACATAAATGGTCATAGTAACTGGAACAGTGTAGTTCAGTTTTTAGTGTTTAAGTTCAGTTCAGTTCAGTTTAGCTCAGTTCAGTGTGATTTAAAATCATTACTGAGAGTTCAAACACTGAAGAGCAAATTCATCGATGCGTAGCTCTACCAATCCTGAACCATGCGAGCCAGTGGCAACAGCGGAGAGGGAAAAAAACTTCACCTGATAGGAGTGAAGAAAAAAAACCTTGAGAGAACCAGACTCAGTTCGGCATGACCATTTTAATTTCTCCGCTGGCCAAAAGTCTTGTGCAGAGCTTCAGTCACCGCGGTGGAAGCTGGAATCAATTAAGGATCAAACCTGTCATTCTTAGATGGTACATGTCATCATAGAATTCACACTATCATAAATAAATATATATATTTCTCATCAATATTGCAAAAAAAACAAATTTGTTATAACCCTAGGCTGCAGTGCCCATGATCGGCACAAGAGGGCACTGTGTCTGTACGTTTGTATTTTTTTTACTACAGTTCTGACGTCTCAGTTGGTTCTGTCTATTCAAGCTCTGTCTTTCTTTTGGATCATGTTATTTTTGTCTTGTGTCATTGTGGTTTAGTTACCGTGTTTCTTGTCTAAGAATTTTCATTTGTTGGGGTTGTAGGTTTTTTTTAGTGAACTATGCATTGTTGTTAGTATATGTTCAATAAACCTGCACTTGCAGCTGCACTAAAAAATCTAACACAAAAGGCTTATATAAGAACTCAAATACAAAAACCTAATATATAAATCATAACAACAAAAAAATAAGGGGACTGAAGTTGTTAACCAAAACGCCACACACAGGGTTTCTGCAGGTTTCATCAAGTCAAATTTAAGACTTTTTAAAACCCTTTTAAGTCCATTATGAATTAGATTTTCGACTCATATGGGGCTAAACACAGGACTTTTGACAATGGTCCAGTTGGATCAATGGAATTGGAAAAAAACAAATGTAGTTATTTCTTAACCACATATTTTAATGTGTTAAATGTGTATTTATTATGAAGAAAACTACACAAATATTCAAAAAATATATTTGTTTGCTTTTAGTCCAAATACATTTTATTTATAACTCCTATTCAACCTGATCCATTTCTGTTATAAATCCTGAAGTTTCATTATAAATATTATGTCCACTCAGACTTTCTTCTGTAAATAGTTTGTGTGTAAATGGAAGATTGTGTAAAGGGATATATTGCTATTATTTTTAAGACCCCACAGACACCCTGATACAACAAAGTGCTCTCTAAAGTCTGGACTAGGATACTACAGCCAATGACTGATCACATTTAGCATTGTTTTGTTGTGGTTTGTGTGCAAACTTGTGCGTTAACTTAAATTTTCTAATGAATGAAATTTTTTATTTTCTCTACAGAGGGTTGCATAATATGTTATAGCACGGTAATAACATTCAAAACAGTTATATTAATGTGAAGTTGTTGATCAGATACAGCATGAATTTACTTGAATATCAAATACCTATTTGCATAACTATTTCATGACAAGACTTATGACAAGTTTTTTTTGGAATAAGAATTACCAAAATCATAAAAAAGATTCTGAATATTCACTTCATCTTTATTTTTATAGCGTTTTTTGTTTTTTGTGTGTGTTTTAAAGCAGATAAACATAGTAAATAAAAAGACAATAAAGCCATAAACATTTTTCAAATTGTGGTACATTCCAGCAAGTCAGTAAGACAGGAGAGTGCTCCCTCTTCGAATGTTATCACACAGTTAAATGGGTGTTATTGGTGGTTATTAGCTGATAGATATCGGCCAGTAGGGACCTTTGCACTTACTGATATGCTCAGAAGGCTGATATCATCCATCCACATGGTTAATCAGCTATACTAATAAACAATCTGAGATCTGTTTTTACATTGCTGTGATGGTTGGGTTTAGGATAGGGGTAGACATTAATATAATACAATTAATAGGAAATGAAATAAATAATATGAATAATTCTTGTAAACTTTCAGCCAAAGCCGTATGTGACCTATAACTGATTAACCATGTGGATGGATGATAACAGCCTTCAACGCCCATTCAATCGAGTGATGAAAGTGTTGGTATAATGCTGGTGTATTCTTGTCAAATTAAATCTGATTCAGTTCAGTTGAATATAAATGTTGAGTTTAATTCAGATCAGTTTTATTGAAATGTCACTGCCGATCCACCGGGTAAGCATTAAAACTGTAATCCTGTGTTAAAATGTCAGAATAAGTAAAAAGTAGGTGTTTACAAAGATACATCTGTAAGTGCAGAGGAATTTCACTTGAAATCATAAAAAACTTTAGAAGATAAAATCTATTAGATAAAAGGCTTTAAATTCAACCATTTTCTGTCAGATTTCACCTAATTGGTCTTGCACAGGCCTAGCAAAATGATATTGTATCAGCTTTAATTCACATTTCTCATATTCAGCTTAATGGCGTTTAGATCATCACCACCCTGCCCTGTAATGCTAACAGTGCATGTCATCAATAGGATTTTCCTGGTTCATATTGCGTATAGTTATCCTGAAATGCTCTTTGGACTCTTGTTGATTTACACAAAAACACTACCATGTGAAGAACAGAAACTTATGAGGAGGATGTTGAGCTCATGTTTTATAGAGATAAGATTCCTTTCTCCATTATAAATACAGACATCAGCAGCTCCAACAGTGTTCTCTGCTGGAGAAAACACATCTACAAACCAGACCACTGCTGTTCACCGCAATGGAGTAAGTGTTAAAAACTTATTCATATAAACCTTGTGATTTATGATGTTTGAATTTGATTCTTTGATTTTCTTTAACAGTGTATTGTATTCAAATAATAATAATAAAAAAGCTTTAAAAATCTGATGAAGGTTCAGTTACCATTTACTCATCCTCTACTTCAGGGGTGATCAGCCCTGTTCCTGGACATTTACCTTCCTGCAGATTTCAGTTGCAGCCCATATCAAACACACCTGCCTGTAATTATCATGTGCTGTTCAGGTTTTAATTAATTGGTTCAGGTGTGTTTGATCAGTATTAAAGCTGAACTCTGTAAGGTAGATCTCCAGGGACAGGGTTGAGCAGCCCTGCTCTACTTGTTCCAAACTTGTGTGAGTTTATGTCCCTTAAAATGTAAAATGTTGTGTTCAACAGAAGAAACACACTTTTAATGGTCTCGAACCAATGGAGAGTTAGTACGTTATGACAGAATTTCTTTTTTGGGTGAAATATCCCTTTTGTATACACACTCAGAAGAAAATGGTATAATGTTGTACCAAAGAAGGTACAAACCCTTGTCACTGGGGCAGTACCTTTTTATGAAACAGAATTGCCCCCTAAGACAAAGAAACAAATTTGTACCATTGCAGTTTGTACCTTTAAGGACATAATTTGTAACATGGGAAACTAAAATGTACCTTTGTTTTTTGAAACCTGCTGATACAATATTGTAACTTGTATAATATTATTTAGTCTCCACTTTCCTTCCTAATCTGCAATTCCCTCTCTGGCTCCACCGCTAACCGTAGTACAAAAAAAAAAAAAAAACTAATGTTTTGCTTCCTACACTTTACATACATGAAACTTGCCTAACAGCACTTATTCATTGTTGCTTTTATAGTTGTGTAAATTGCTTCCTTTTCCTCATTTAAGTGGATTTGGATAAAGCGTCTGCTAAATGACTAAATGTAAATGTAAATTTTATCAAAGGTACAAATCTAATCCATGAAGGCACCACCACAACCACAAGACACTTTGTACCTTAACAGTGTCAAATGTGTTTCTTTAGGAACTATTTAAAGGCATTTTGCTTTATCTAAAATTAATTTTCAGTAAATATAAAACAACAAATACATTTTTAAACTTTTTTTTAAGTTTCTGTTTGTGTAAATGCACATTTTCAATTTACAATAAAAAAATAAAAATACTTGAACATTAATCAAAGGATCAATTTTTTGATCTATTTTTTTGCCCTTTTATACAAAAATGTTACAGAAATACATTCTCCCATGTTCAATCTAAAACTTTTTTTCTCCAATTTTCACACAATACCTTTATAATCACTTAAAAGTGACATTAATTTACTTGATTTTAAAATAGAAATAGAGTTATGCAAACAAGATTTCACAATGTTTGATTAGTTTTACAATACTAAAATGTCTGCATCAACACTTTCACAGGACTTTTGCAGCTCACGTGCGTAGTGGAAGGCAAACACCAAAAGATGCAGATGTCAACTATTAAAATGCATTTATCAGAAAAAGCTTACCAAATGTTTATTAAAATGCCTTAAATGTTTAGTTCACAACACCTACAGTTTTGTTTTACCAGTTGTTTTGTAATATAGAAGTTAATAACGAATGTTTATGAGTTTCTTTCAAACACATGCATTTACATAATGATTCATGTTTTAATATGGAAATGATTCATAAAATCACTTTGCCTTTCCAGTCATATTTATTGCCATAGATATTGTGATAAAGGAGTTGTCCAACACTTATATACCTTTTTATGAGAACAATTGTGTACCTTCAACTTCATTTTGCACCATAAAAGGTGCAGAACAGTCTCATAAGAGATCTTTTCTGTACCATATAAGGTACAACTTTTACAAAAATACAAAACTGTTCCTTAAGGAACATTATTTGTACTACCCTGTACCTTTTTTTTCTGAGAGTGTACCCTAAAGATCAGGGGTTTCCAACTCTTTTTTTTAAGGGCCAAATGGGAGAACATGTTCAACTGTGTGAGCTAAATTAGCTTTTGTTAAACCTCAGTGTCCTTACAGGAGCATTAACATTATGAGTACATTGTATTAAAAAATAACACTTAATTTCTATTTGTCTGTAGCTTACAGGTGTTTTAGTTTTATTTGTGCATTCAACTTGAATTCTGGCTAAATTTTGTTGATGTTGAACTTTTATTGGTGAAAGGGAAAAGCTTCGTATTATATCTAAAATTCAATACTACTGTATATCTTGTTTATTCTATGAATTCGATTTTCTTTTGAGCTGAATAGATTATCAGCAACTATTTAGGGGTGTTTTTTGCATTCATATCTTAATTATAGGAGCCTTATAAGCATTTCAATACACTTCATGATGCCACAACTGCTTTTAGGCTTCATATCAGCTCACAAATTTGTGAAACAATGATGTTTCTCCGACAATTTGTTACAAATATCTATATAAAAATATCTATATTGTAACATTACACAAATAAAGTTATTATTCATTATATTATTATATTTATTATTATTATTATTATTAGTATTATCATTTTTAATAAAAAATATACATATTTACTGTTAAAAACAACCCTTTGTCTCTCTTTTATTCATACGTCTGGTGTTGATTTAATCGCCATTGCCTGCCTAAATTGTCTTCTCTCTGCAACTCCAGTTCTTTACTGAAAGGAGAGCTTGAGAAGCTGGAGTGCCACTTCACCTGGGATCTGGGGCAATATCAAAATGAGCTCCAGGGGATGAAAAGGAAGATGGACCATGTTGACCCACAAAAAATCTCTTCTCCAGTCCACTATTACAACCTGCTGGGGTTCATCCAAAAGAGTCTTGGCTCTGACAGAGAGGCGCTGGAGTCCCTACAGAAAGCAGAAAGTGTGATCCAGGAGCAGGGAACAGAAGAGACTGCAGTCCGGCTGCTGGTCAACAAAGCTAACCTGGCTTGGGTCTACTTCTATTTGGGAGAGCTGGAGAAGAGCAGAGGATACCTAGAAGAGCTGGAGGAGCTTCAGAGAATTCATCCTGCTCCACCTGGATGCCCTTTACACCCTGAAGTGAGTGGAGAAAAGGGCTGGACGCTGGTGAAGTTCAACAAGTCCAAGAAGAGCCAGGCCATCGGTTACTTTAAGATGGCTTTAGAAGCTGAACCTGAAAGGAAGGAATGGCACAAAGGTCTTGCCATATCTATGAGCAAAGCATGTTTATGGTATAAATGCACTCCAGAGCAGAAAGCTGAGATTTTAGAGAAGGTGAAAACGGCAGCAGAGATCGACCCAAATGATCTGTTCCTTCAATCTCTCTATGTCTTAAAAAAGTTTGAGGTTCAGGGAGAAAATGTTGATGAGGAGATTCAGAGTTTGCTTAAGAAATCCATTAGCACTGCAAACTTGGTTGGTCTGAATTACATTATCGAATATTTTAAGGGCATTTCTTATGGGAGAGCAATTGAAGAGGTACAAAGGGTTCGGGAAATATTTCCCAGTTCTTCGACACTTTTGAAAATTCTTGCAAATTTATATAAATGGAAAGTGTTCTCCATGAAGGAGGACAGCAGGGAAAGGCGGATTTGGGTTCAGAAATCCATTGAGCTGTTTGAAGAGGTTGTCAGACATTACCCAGATTGTGTGAAAGGAAGGTCAGACCTCGCATCACTGCACCGTTACGCACACAACACTGAAAGAGCAGAGGAGATTTACCAGCAGCTCCTGTCAGAGGACCACACTCTCCCTCCTCACAGCCAACAGTTGTTGTACTATAGTTACGCCTGTTACGTACATCATACTGGACAGTCCAGGGACAAATCAATCAACTTCCTCATGAAAGCAGCAGAAATCAAAAACTATTCATATAACAAAGACAAATGCATTGAGATTCTTCAAACAACAGTGCAGAATGGCAGAAACTCTCGATGTGAGGAGATTAAAAGATTTCTGAAGAATGTTCTCAAAGAGGAGTAAAGCTGCAAGCCAAGCTCTTAACATAAAGTCTCTACAGTTGTTATTTAAGTGTAAATGTGCAAACACAATGACTGAGTTTGAACTGACTGAATTCTTTAGATAAATACATCGTTCTTCACATATCCAAAACAAAAAAGTTTCGAAGAACTTCTCACTAAATTCAAAAAGATTATTTTGCTGCTTGTTCAAACTACTTATTTATTTTGGGTGGACAACTTAATTGTTGTATGTTCAATCCTCATAAATTAGTAAAAGAAATGAAGTTAAATTAAAAGATTTGTGTTGGGACAACTTTAAGGAATTGTGTGGAATTTTTCTTTTTACAGTATAATAGGTTATGTGCGGAACAAAAAAGCTTCTTCATGGCATAACTGTTAAAACCTTTTTGTACCTTTATTGTGAAGCTGGTAATTGTTTATGTAATGTGAAAGCAGAATAAAATATGACTTCTCAATTTATGATTTCTTTTGTATATTAATTTCTGCACAATATAATCACAGAAACAAGCAACAAATAGGGTAACTCTATATACATTTCATATTATTTATATTTCTCATTACTTGCTGCTATTGCACGCCTGGTTAGACCTAAACTGCATTTTGTTGCCTTGTACTTGTGTAATAAAAACAGTTGAATCTAATCTAATCTAATTTTGACATCCGAAGATCAGCTGTATCAGTGACAAATATGCAAAAAAATGTTCTCTCTATATAATGTATTTATAAAGCATATTGTGCATCTTTGGGGTTATTCTCGCATATTAAATCCTGAAGACTGAAGTGCTTTATTCTGTGAAAACAACAGCCTAGATATATAGATCATTCCACTATTGTTCCATTTATGGTAACTTTCCATGAAACTAAACTATCAGGTAAAAAAACATTGATCTGAGCTGTAATAAGCTCAAGATTATTCAAAGTAGCCTACCCAGATGAGCCTGTGTTATGTGATTATGGAAATAAACTTGGAGTTTCTTGACTGATCAATTGGAGTCAAGTATTGCAAGTCATTGTTGTGTAATTAAAGGGACTTACCATATTTTATAAAAACAACAACAACAACAACAACAAAAATACTCAACTATGGTCTTTTTACTTTCATCCACCCCGTGTGTTTAAGCCATTAAGCCTTATACAAAATGACAAATTGGCACAAAAAGATTCCCCTGTATCTCTAATTGTCAGAATTACAGTATCGGCTGATAAGAAGTTGTCTCTGTGAATGGACATGATACACCTAAAAATTGCAGCAATTAGAACACTAGTTGGACGAAACTTAAGGCAAAATTATTTAAAAAATCTTTTTCATGCCTATTGTGTCCTCATTTTCCTATTTCTAAAAATATTTCTTCATTTCTGTTTCTAAAAATCTAAAGCTGTGAGAAAACAAAAATTAATATGAGAGATGTACGAAAGGGAAATAAAAAGTTGCTCATATTATGTAAAACAAAAATGGTTCATTGAAGAACTCCTCTCTAAAAGGTTATTTGGAAAACCAAAAAGACTTCTTCTTTAACGTCACTGTGAAGATAATTTTTGGGTCTTCATGGTATCTTTTTTAAGGAGCAATGGTGGTAATTGTTTTTGTTTTGTAAATGCATAATAAAATATGATTTCTCAATTTATGATTCATTTTATATATCAATTTCTGCACAATGTATAACAATAATCACAGTTACCAGCCAGAAATAAACAATACAGCTTTTACAACATCAATGACAAAATTATGAAACTGTCCCTTTTCAGAATGAGGAATATGCACACCCACTTTTCATTTTCAGTCAGCCAGCTCAAGCGTTTCTGGTCAGTTGTCCCAAGTATTGCTGCAGCTCGAAGACCTCCAAGTGGGAGGGATTACACCACAAGTAGGTTGGGTGACCTCCAAGTGGGAGGGGCTCTAACCACAAGTAGGTAGGGTTTAGGTGCAGGTGGTGCAGATGTTAATAAAACACAACAGGTTAGTGTGAGGTTGGGTTTATGTGTAGATGTTAATAAATAAAAAAAACCAACCGGTTACTGTGGGGTTGGGGTGGGTGTAGATGTTCATAAAGCACAATATTGGATTCAGTTGTCATGTACAAGACATTAAATAATTAAAAACTCCAGGTTTGCACAGCTCACTTGGAGCTCAAGTCCCACCCACTTGGAGCTGGCTCCGACCTCTGTTACCCTTCTCAATTGTCCTGCCATAACAAAACCGCAGCATTTAAGATTAGATTTAGAAAAAAATATATAAAACTCAGTTATCTTCACTGTCTCACTGGGATATGATATAAAGTGGGTATCAGACTAGACAAAAAGCACTGAATTAAATTCCATTGTTCTGCGACATGTTTTTAAAAATATGAAAATTCATTTTACCACAGTATTTTCAATGGCGCTTTGGTGTTTACTTGCTGCTTCTGATGGCACTTGTGTTTTAAACTGTCTAACTTGAAACTTTCTCATTTTACACTTGAACAAGTAAATAAATGCTTAAGTCTACTTAACTGATTTTATTTTAATGACATTACAACATTGATGCTGTAAAAGGAACCATATGAAAATTAAAAATTATCACAATAACTTTTCACCGGACGTTTATCGGTGGCTGAAAAACACTCGCTGTGCATATAGCCCGATTCACCTTCATTCACCCTATGCATTGAAGACATTTTTCCAAACAATGCTTTCCATTCATCTCCAATTTGCAGAATTACAGTATAGTTGATAAGTTATCTCTATTCAATGACATGACAGACTTTGAAACCATTAAAATTCCCCTTGCGTTGCCAGTTATAAAAACACAAGTTAAATGAAACTTAATGAAATGAAACTTAAAGGCTGTATGTCCTCATTTCCAGCTTCTAAAAATATTTTCTTTATTTCTGTCTATATAAATCAAGTTTAGAATTTACATTAACTGATGCTAACAAAATTAATATCACAAATGTATTGTTCGTTGTTTACATTATATTTGATATATTGTAAGCAGATGACTTCAACAGTCTGAACTGCCAGACAGAAATACAACAGGTCTAGTCTTCACAATTGCATCAACGTTTCTTGCAAATAAAATTTCTGTTTTATTGTCATGAAATATGAGTTTACTGATTAAAAATAATGACCACACTAATTTGCATTAATGCTAGAAACAACATTGTGTGTGCAAAAATAATAAATTAATGCAACACATCCAAGAAATTTGCACCAAAAGGAGTAGAAAAAAAAACATTGAACTACAAAGATGTTGTGCTCTTAAACTGGCATCTTAAGAGTTTCTGCTTGACATCTTAATCACTTTCGGTAAACTACACTTGAAGGAGAAATGAAACCAAGAGTATAATCTTGAGCTGATGTGTTTAATGACTTTGTTCAGGTAGATAAGACATGAGCTTGATCATTTAAATACAGCATGATTTATCAGTACCTCACTTGAAACACAGCAGCGCAAGAAGGAAACTCTTCAAACCAAGACAAACACTGAACATTATTATGAAGTAAGTCCTTCTCAATTCAAATATGCAAAACTAGTAGTTACTGTTCAAAATGGCTCTTTGTCTCTCTTTTATTTACATGTCTGGTGTTGATTTAATCGCCATTGCCTGCCTAAATTGTGTTCTCTCTGCAACTCCAGTTCTTTACTGAAAAGAGGGCTTGAGAAGCTGGAGTGCCACTTCACCTGGGATCTGGGGCAATATCAAAATGAGCTGCAAGGGATGAAGAGAGAGATGGACCTTGATGTCCCACAAAAAATCTCTTCTCCAGTCCACTATTACAACCTGCTGGGCTTCATCCAAAAGAGTCTTGGCTCTGACAGAGAGGCGCTGGAGTCCCTACAGAAAGCAGAAAGTGTTATCCAGGAGCAGGGAACAGAAGAGACTGCAGTCCGGCTGCTGGTCAATAAAGCTAACATGGCTTGGGTCCACTTCCATTTGGGAGAGCTGGAGAAGAGCAGAGGATACCTAGAAGAGCTGGAGGAGCTTCAGAGAATTCATCCTGCTCCACCTGGATGCCCTTTACACCCTGAAGTGAGTGGAGAAAAGGGCTGGACGCTGGTGAAGTTCAACAAGTCCAAGAAGCGCCTGGCCATCGATTACTTTAAGATGGCTTTAGAAGCTGAACCTGAAAGGAAGGAATGGCACAAAGGTCTTGCCATATCTATGAGCAAAGCATGTTTATGGTATAAATGCACTCCAGAGCAGAAAGCGGAGATTTTAGAGAAGGTGAAAACGGCAGCAGAGATCAACCCAAATGATTTGTTACTTCAGGCTCTTTATTTAGTAAAACTTTCTTATGTGACAAAAGTAAACGTCGAGAGAGAGATGCGAGATTTACTAGAGAGATGTCTTGAAATTGTAAACGTGCCGGGTTTGAATATCATTCTCAAATATTTAGGAGACATTTCTTTTGATGAATCTATTCGTGAAGGAGAGAGATTTCAAGAAAGGTACCCCGAATCAATCAAAGTGTTGAAATGCCTGGCAGACACCTACAAATGGAAGGTTTACAAAATGAATGAAGACACAGAGGAAAGGGTGATTCTGGCTAGGAAAACCATTGAGCTGCTGGAGAAGGTTTGCGGATATAACCCAGACTCACACAGAGCAAAAGTAGCCCTTGCAGCAATGCACTATTACGCACACAACACTGAAAGAGCCGATGAGATTTACCAGCAGCTCTTGTTAGAAGAAGAATTGTCTCCTGACAAGTGGCAGTATATTTACTACTGTTATGCCAGTTATCTAAATCAGTGTAAACGGTTCAGTGAGTCAGTACAGTTTCACATAAAAGGAGTGAAAACCCCAGGTGATTCAGTTGACAAAGAAAAGAGTTTAAACATTCTTAAAAAGATTGTGTGGAGAGGTAAAGATCCGCTCTGTTCAGAAATTAGGCAATTACTCAAGACAACTCAGAAATGATTTTGATAAATCTGATGAATGTAGTTTAATGTAGAATGGAGCTGTTCTCATGCAGTGTCATTTTTTAAAAACACAAAATAACGTAAAAAATAGTGCTTTTACGCAGTGGTGGAAAGATTAATGAAATATCATACTTAAGTAAAAGTACCATTACTTGCCTAAAAATGTAGTGCAAGTAGAGTAAAAGTACCTGTAAATATTACTGTAAAATTTAAAATATTAATACATTTTAAAATGTAATTTATGATTAATAATTTTTTTTTTTTAAATTACTCAAAGTATGGGTAAAAAGTAGCCCTGTAATATCAGGTGACCAAAATTCAATGTCTACCAGCGTCAACGTTATTTTGATGTCCTATAACAACGTCAAATGATGTTGATATTTGGTTGATTTTAGCTTGTTAGAAACAGACCAAACATTGAGCCAAGTTTGAGTATTTGTAATTTGTTACTTTACACCACTGCTTTTTTGTCATTACAATAATAAAAATGTCTTCCTTTTTTAACATAAAAATGTGTATGTTGGGTGAAAGGTCATGGTTTATGGTGATTAAAATACAGCTCAGCATCAAAGACTGGAACCAACAGTTTTTATAATATGAACTGTCACAAACGTGGCTGACTTTAAAATGTAGGAACAGGTGTGTAACATATAATCAATGTGTGTATTTATAGAAGCATATGGGCAATGTTTAGCTAAAACTGAAACTGTCAGAAATCATGTCCCTAAAAAATCTCAATATAATATTGCTGTCTTGTTGGTATATAAGGGCCATTCTTCAACTATGGGCACTTGTTGAGTGAAAACTGAAGTTGAGTAAAAAAACTTGTTCAAAATTAGCATAACATAGCCTCCTAAGTGTAAACAATTTGTCTAGTTTTAAGATCTGTAAGAAGACAAACTTTGATAAGAGAAACTTTTTTTCCATCGTGAACTGAAGAAATGTCAATTCCACCACATCTCATTATACAGCTTATTTCAAAATGAAATAAATTATGGCAGTCAAACACTGTCCAAGATCATTTTTGTATCTAGGTTAACCAATCTTTCCACTATATATAATAATTATACTTTTGTCAATGAAATAAATTAGTTGTATGCTGAATTGTACACCTGTCACACCCTAAAATTAAATATTAATTTGGTTAAGAGCTTATTTGAAAATCAATAAACTGAATTTGTATATTAAATAGAGCATAAACTTATACATTGTGAATACACTTTTAATGTGTGATGAGAACTTTTAAAATATTTTTTAAAAATGTGTGTGGTGATGGAAATGACAGTGATGGAAACGACATTTTAACAGTTTATTGTGAAAAAATGAAAAATAGCTTCACTGATTAGCTTTGAATTGATACTAGCCGTTCATGTATACAAAACACTCTTAATTATCTTAATTTTGTTTGGTTTTTAAAAACATCTTTGAAGGTACAACATGTTTGGAAATGACATAAGATAAATGTATTTCCTTATCAAGCAACATTTACCTTGATTTTTCTTCAAGTGTTGTTGATAAAATGTTAAATTCCCTCCATCTTGAACATGTTCTCAGATGGCACTATTCATTTTCTTAGAAACCACATAAGTAATCTTTTACACAAACTTTTTAAAGCGACAATGCAGTGTTGTGGTGGAAATGACACTGGTACTGTGCGACAGCTATATTTTGTATGAAAAATTATATTGATTATAATCTCACATTAATAACAACAATATATTATTAGGATTTCACTAGTGCTTCATTAAGATACATTAATAGCTACCAGATAAATAATATTTTAAAATGTTATTTTCATTGTTGAATTTTAAAACTCTGGGTGTGCGACAAGGTGAAAACAGTGATTTTGACACCTAAAAGAGGTTGAATAATTAGAAAAATATATAACAGAAAGGTAGTAAATTTTTTAAGAGTAGGTTTTATTGTTAGTTTGACAAAGAAATAATAAATAAAATATTTTTTTATTTTATTAAATTTTTTTTGCCTATATGATCAAAGGACATAGAAGTGGCTGTAGTCAAAGAATTACCCATGAACTGAACTATAATTTCACTTCTGTCATGTGCTGTGTACATTATGTTTTACCGATTACAGAACTTGTTCACAATAAACATCTTCAATGGTGAATATGTTGATACTGTGTTTTATTACAAACCTTTACAGAGTGCATCATTGTAAAACAGAATCTGATATAGACATTCAGCCTGCAGCCGGCGGGGGTGGCGGGGGGTGGGGGCTACACCCCTCACTGACAAAGGTCCAGAATTTGTCCCATGCACAAGCTAATTTTTCTATTTTGACTGCTATGCAATAAAAATTGTGAAAATAACCCATTAAAGAAGGCTTTAAGACCAAGCGGAATTCTGCGTGGGTTGCGAAAGTTGAATGTGCTGGCCAGTTTGTGTTTGCCTAATAAATGACATTCAAGCTAGTTTGGCATGCTGTCCCAGGAGAGAGCCCTAAGCTCATGAGATCCTTGAGCACTAGGCTCCCTCCCGTTTGCAGGGCGAGAGGGGAGTTTGAGCTCAGGTAGATCTCGAGAACCCCCCAAGATGCCTTTTGCTCGGGACAGCAGCCATGTATTGAAGGACCCCTCCAAAGGTCACTGAAATCAATGCTATATCCGGCTGCTGGATCTATTATTGAGAAAGGATAGGAGAAAGAGAGGCTCCTGCGGGAGCATGGGTAGGCATAGACTCCTGCGGTAGTTGGACCTTGGGAGTGATGGCCTACGCGCAAGGAAGATATAGGAGCTGAGCTAGGGGAAGTAGCAGCGGCATTCGTGGCTGAATAGAAAAAGGAGAGACTCGATGCTTGGAGGAAACGTGTGATTAATATTAAGACACGGGATCTTTACCTGGTAAAGCCGGTTGTGCGGGAAAATAACAGGCTGAATAGTCCGAAGTTATACGTGCCATGAGCGGAGCATTATCGATCGCTGTATTTAAATGCACGGTGAAATACAGCTAGTGCTGGACGCTCGATCAGTCCGAACCAGTGACAGCTGGATCCAGGGCGTTGCCTGGAGGCTTGCACGGTCCGATGGAGGCTCGTCCCCAGGGTTGCATGAAGGCCAGCAGCCCTGTGTTTAAAGTCGCGGACTTGTTGGTGTGCTCTGCTGAGTGGTAGTGCACTGGATGTAGAGTAGGGGAAGTGAGAGGAGCCTTGCAGTTAAGGGTGTTATCTTCGGTGAAATTTGCTTGAATGTTACAGCGATTGGATATTCTTTAAGACGAAGATGACTAAAGGTAAGATGCTTGGTTATTTATACTGAGTTAACCTGCGGTCACACTGGGCTTTTCCTCCCATAGACTTCCATTCATACGCACACGAATACGTCAGACCGGAAATGCAGGGTCATGCTGTGCAATGTTCAAGCTTGGTGAACTCTGACCTGCGAAACCGCGTCACTAGACTCCGTGAGACCAATCGAGGATCAAAACATGACCTCTCTGAACAGAAATTTAAAATATAGAGCAATCGCTTACTTTGTAAATGTCTAATCATCTTGTTTAGCCCGCCCCTTTTCGCAGAGAGGTTAGACAGAATTTCGCAAACTCAAACTCTGGTGTGACCGCAGCTTTAGGACTTGTCTGGTCGGTGGTTCGTACATAAGCTTGACTCGGGGCCAGCCGTGTCAATCATAAGCACGTGCTACTGTCGAAATTTGATTATAAATAAACTATACATAGGCTACAGATTTTAGTTTAAAATTTGAACAGATTTCTATTTTTTTCTAATGATGTAATGAATTTGTATTTAATCTAAATCTTTAGGATGTATTTTGGTACAGCAAAATGTGTGGTTATTCTAACCATCCGACAAGCTAATCTAGCAAAAAATAAATCTTAAAATGTCACTAAAAGCAGTACTCAAATTTCATAATTAAATAGAAAATGAGGCCACACGGAAAGAACCTATATGAACATATGTGTTTGGTATAGGTTTGATGTAGGTTCATATATGTTTATATAGGTTATTTTCCGTAACTGCAAAAAGTTACATTTTTAAAGAAAAAAGAACCACTCCTTTAAACAGACTGTCTACAGGTCTGCTACAATACAGCTTTGTTAACCACAAGAGACCATAGATAGGATTTACCAAAGCATTTGAAAAGAATGCCTCTGAAATTTATACTCTGCAGACAGTAACTTTTGTTCAGTATTTTGAATCAAATAGCGCACAAAGGGGGTTAAACAGATTGTAATTATTATGTTTAGATGGGCTAGAACTAAATGACATTGCAAAATATGTTTAAAAATACATTTCTATGAGTGTGACAATTGTTTTCTTTCTCATTCCTGATAAAGCCTGCTGTTCGCGGGGTGGCTTGTATCCATCAGAATAACAGTAACTGACGTCATTCCGGGAAAGCGAAACCAAAAGCAGAAACAGGACTGAATGAAGAATCGAAACTTAGCCTACAACTTTATTACCCGTGATGTGATAGACGCCCAGGAAATCCAAGCTGGAGGAAGCCTCTTCTCAACAAGAAAAACAACTGTGCCTGTCTGGAATTACAATGAAGTAAGTGTTTATTATAGCATGAGAAATGCGTGGTAATGCAGAACATGTTTTGCTAATGATAGCTAACTGTGTCTTAGGTTTTTTATCTTATAAACCGAGGAAAATAAAAATTATTTTAAGAATCTGTGACAGGAGATTAAAAGTCATGGCCATCTTTATTGTTTTTCTATTGATTATATTGATATATCAAGTCCATTTATTAAAACCTACAGGCCTAAGAAAATCTCTATTAAGATTATTTTTTTTGCATCTCATGTTTCAAAATGTAGCTATATGCTACTTAAAAGAGAACCAGTCGTTGTAATTTGTTTTTCTTTCATCATTTACAGCCTTATTTTAGCCACATACCAATATGCTGTGTACGGGGGGCTGTACACAATTGTTTTTGTAAGCATTATCTCATGTTATTCAGTGTTTATTAATATTATCCAACATAATACAGTTTTTCAAAGCGTAAAATGATTATTATTTTGATGGATAAAGCAAGGACAACAAGTGAAACGCATTTTTAAACGCACTAAGTTTACAAATAAATGTAAAATAAAAATATTGATTGTAGTGTAGCCTAAAATTAGACTTTTTGGTGGGTTTTAAACAGACATTTAGGCTACATACTTGGAAAACATAAAATTGTTGTTGCTGTTTCAAACTCAACAACACAAACAATTTACTTAATCTCATCGGTATTGTATTTAAAGTCAATTAATTTACTTATCTTCTTTTATTCATGAAACTCACATCAGTCACTCTCATTAGTGTCATAACTCTATTATTATTATTATTTTTATTATTATTCATTCATTCTCTTTTCGGCTTAGTCCCTTTATTAATCAGGGTTTGCGATAGCAGAATGAACCACCAACTTATCCAGCACATGCTTTACGCAGCGGATGCCCTTCCAACTCTAACCCATCTCTGGGAAACATCCATACACACTTATTCACAGCTGACAATTTAGCCCACCCAATTCACCTGTACCACATGTCTTTGGACTCTGGGGGAAACCGGAGCACCCGGAGAAAACCCACGTGAAAGTATATATATATATATATATATATATATATATATATATATATATATATATATATATATAATAAGGATGAAATAGGATTTTGGAATGTTCAGTCAGTATTTTCACAATTGAAATGGCTAAACCTGGGTCATTCTAAAGCAGGGTTCACCAACCTTTTTGAAACTGAGAGCTACTTTTTGGGTATCGAATAATGTAAAGGGCTACTACAGATTTTCTCAATTTGCTATTATTATTATTATATGTTAATAATTATTATTAATAATTAATGCTATTCATCTATAAGATACTGATCATGTTAATGATTTCTCACAATAGTTATCAAAAATTATTTAACAAGGTAAGAAACAAATAATATGCAACCCTTTATTTGTCTGAATTATATATATATATATATATATATATATATATATATATATATATATATATATATATATATATATATAATATAACTAAATGTAATTGTAATCCAATGCAAGTGTGATTTAAAAAAAAAAAAATGACAAAAAGTATTAGATGCAGCTTACTGGTATGTGGTGTTATGGTGAGCTATTTTTAGAACAGGCCCGCATGCAACTCATGTGATGCTTGCGGGTGTTCTAAAGCCACAGTATCCTTGGTTATATTACTACATATGCTGAAGTTTCACACAAATGTTTACATTCTTATTTCCAATGTCAGTTGCACTTCAATTACTCTATTGTAACGACGGGGAGTGACACCAACAACAGAAGTTTGGATCCACGTGCAGGTTTATTAGAATTGTCAGGCAAGCAGTGGTCAATACCGGCAAACAGATGTATGAGGGCAATCCAGAGTCGAAGTCAAAACAACAGGCATTTAGTCAGAGGCGGGCAGCAAACAGCATTAAATAAATAAACAAGGCAAAGGATCAAAAACACGGCAAAGGCAGACAAAGGAAACGCGTTGTAATGTCACTGTGACAGATAACAAGACTCGGCAAACTGAAGGAGTGAATGTGTGGCTTAAATAGTGTGTGTTAATCAGTCTCTGAAAGTCCTCAGGTGTGAATGTAAATCAAGCTAAATGAGAAAGCAGGTGTGGGCGAAGAGCATGTATGAAGTTGTAGTCCAGGAAAAGTGTAGTTCTAAGTGTGTGTGTGTTTACCAGCGACATCTGGTGGTTGTTCGCTGGTAAACATGACATCTATAAATTTTACAAATATACATACTTTTTTTTGCAAAGATATGTTTATATATAGAAACGGGCTTACAACTAACATATTTTGGTTAATTCACCATTCTGGAAACATTAGTATCTGGTTCCAAAATCATTTATTGTTCAGCCAGCAAATTTTTCTTAATAGCTCCTTCAATGTTATGAGAACGTTAAATGTTCTCTTCAATCTACTACTGAAAAAAAATCTCCTGAAACATTCTGGAAAGTTTGTTTTTTGGTGACCTACAGAGAACAATCCCAAAAATAACCAAATGGTAACAAAACACAATCCATACTTATTCAGTAGGTGCTACAAGAGGCATCTTACTACTCAAAAATAATAAACATCCTTTATGAAATTGTGTACCACAACCTCCCCAAAACATCTCAAATGTGTCTGCTTTTTAGGCTTGCCTTGCCATTAATGCTTAGATAACATGCTTACGTCTCCTTTTATTAAATATGGCTTCAGTATACAGTAAATGAGCCTATCAATATCCATTGTCATGAATTTTAGAATTAAATACTGTAAGCAAAATACCTTTGAAAAGGAGATGACTAATGTACAGTTTCTCTTTCTTTTTAGTTCTCATATGAAATGCTCTATGGAGAGGCTGGAGTGCCACTTCAATTGGGATCTGGGGTGCAACAAACATAAGTTCAAAGAGTTACAGAGGAACATGCAAGACATTGAGCCACAGGGAATCGCCTGGCTGGTCCACTATTACAACCTGCTGGGCTTCATCCAAAAGAGTCTTGGCTCTGACAGAGAGGCGCTGGAGTCCCTACAGAAAGCAGAAAGTGTGATCCAGGAGCAGGGAACAGAAGAGACTGCAGTCCGGCTGCAGGTCAACAAAGCTAACCTGGCTTGGGTCTACTTCCATTTGGGAGAGCTGGAGAAGAGCAGAGGATACCTAGAAGAGCTGGAGGAGCTTCAGAGAATTCATCCTGCTCCACCTGGATGCCCTTTACACCCTGAAGTGAGTGGAGAAAAGGGCTGGACGCTGGTGAAGTTCAACAAGTCCAAGAAGCACAAGGCCATCGATTACTTTAAGATGGCTTTAGAAGCTGAACCTGAAAGGGAGGAATGGCACAAAGGTCTTGCCTTAGCCATGAATATGGCCTTTATTGATACTGAACAAACTCCAGAGCTGAAGGCTGAGATTCTAGAGAAAGTGAAAACGGCAGCAGAGATTGACCCAAACGATCTGTTCCTTCAATCTCTCTATGTCTTAAAAAAGTCTGAGGTTAAAGGAGAAAATGTTGATGAGGAGATTCAGAGTTTGCTGGAGAAATCCATCGAAACCAGAAACCCAAGTGGCTTGTCCAGTATTTTTTATTATTATAGAAATAATTCCACAGAAAAAGGTTTTTATGAGGGAGAAAGGGTTCGAAAACATTTTCCCACTTCCACAAAAGTTCTCAAAATTGTGGCAAATTTACACAAATGGAAGGTTTACAACATGAAGGCAGACACTGAGCAACGGGAGAATTTGGCTAGGAAATCCATTGAGCTGTTTGAGGAGCTTCTCACTCATTACCCTGATCATCTCAAAGTAAAGTTAGCCCTCGCATCACTTCATCAATACGCACATAACACTGAGAAAGCAAATGAGATTTACCAGCAGCTCCTGTCAGAGATAGATGATGCCATGCCTCATCATAGACGACAGCAACTATACTATTATTACGCAAGTTTTCTATATCATTCTAGATCTAGACACTCCAGAGATTCAGTTTTCTTTTACATGAAAGCTGCAGCAGTCCCGGAAATGACAGGTCGCAGACAAAAGAGCATTAAGATTCTTGAAAAAATTATTAGCAGAGGCCGAGACCCTCGCTGTGCAGAAATTCAGCATTTTCTTGAGGGACTCGTGAGTTCTGATTAAAATGTGCTTCAGAAAAACAGCTTGTGCTTAACTGGATGCCCTGTAACCTCCAGAGCCAGTTCACTGTATGTACTTTAATAAGAACTTCATGAAGGTGAATCACGTTTTTATTGCATCTGAAAACTACAGTTTAGATACGAGACATAAAATGCTTTTATTTCTAAAATGCTTACAGTATGATTGCATATTGAATAAACAACTTTGCAACTTTATATTTTGCCATTTAGATGAACTAATCCAGCTTTTTAACCCTTTCATTCATGGTGTCCACATTTGTTTAAGGTTCATTAATCATGGTAATTTTTTCCAAACCACTTGAGGGCAGTGTCAGTAGACTGTCAGCTGTATTGTCACAGTGGCTACTTTCTTGCATTCCAGTTATTCTTTCTTTGCTTGATGACATCATTAATTCAAGATGGCTGACAGTGATGGCCATGTGCTAAATGCCTCAGGCATATCTGTGAAAAACTTTTATTCAAGCTTTAAAAAAATCAGTATGTACAGTCAGTATGTACATCAGTATAACGAATATGTTTTTATATGAGTATGAATTTATAAAATAACATTTTAAGTAAAATCTAGTTTTTATTCACTAAAAACTAACTGTCCACATATGTGGACGCCACTGCGCACTACTTATATATAAAAGTACTATTATTATTGTTCCTACAATATGTTTTTCATTGTTTTTATATTGTACTATTATTGTTTTTAATAAATGAGCAGATATGAATAGAATAACAGGCCATTAAAAAAATCACAATATTTCATATTGTCAGCTCTCTGTCTTTATGTCCCATTTAACACCTTTGTTGCATAGTGTCCATGTATGTGGACAGGTAAATAAATTTAAAATAAAATTTTGTAAAAATGAAAATGGATTTGAATTTTTGTGTCTTTTTAAAGCTATAAAATAATAAAAAAAAAATCCACATAATGTTTTTCAGAATTCATGCATGAAAGGGTTCATAGAATTTGGGACAAATTGAAATTATTTTCGGTAACAGTGCCAGCACAACTATAATGTCACATACCAATAAATGTGTTTATTTTAGTATCACAAAGTATTTGATGAATGATTCAGAATAAAATATTACTATATTGTAATTTAATTCCCTTTGTTTGAAAAAATGCATAATTTGCACATGCTGTCATTTTTATATTTAGTTCTATATATCTCAGTTATCTCATAATATTTCATTATTCTAGTTTCCCTGGCAATAATTAGGCATGACGTTTTTCCACAAGCGTGTTTTGAATCAGGGGTATAGTATTAGCATGGACGAAGGGGATGTGTCCCCACCAATATCCACCGTCTTTTGTAATGTCTCCAACAATATTTAACCAGTCAATTCTCCCAATCTCTCACAGTAGCATGTCGAATTTCGGTTGCATCTAATGTACGAAAAACTACAGCCTGTTCTCCACCTACTTTAATTAATACTGATGTATGAGACACATTTCATTTGCACTATGGCTAAAATAAATGGAAGTCTTTATTAAACTCTTTCTTTGTCAGTTATAAAGCATTTTTAGCATTACACTATTACTCAGTTTAACTTAACTTTAAAAGATACTGTATTGTATAGAGAGTGGATTAAAAACTAATTGAATAGCAGTGTTAATGTAAAGTGATTTTGCAGCAAATGAAAAAACAGAGGTTTATACTGTAATTCATAGGTCCCCACCAATGTCAAGGGCAAACTTATGCCCTTGTTTTGAATGCTGAGCGGACGTTTATACCGAATATCCATACATTAGACCACAGGCTGATAGAGACTTTTGAAAGAGCCATTTACACATTAGCTGAATTTTAAAAAGAAAAGCCACTTTGGATTGGATAAATTAAATACAAATTATGATACGGAATAGGATGACATTTGATTCGAGTGGTTTTAGCTGTACTTTAGCATTAAGAAGCTTGAGCTTAGTTAGGGTTTTGACAAATTTAATCTTTTGTTCAGCAAGGATGCATTAAATTGATCAAAACTGACAATTAATAATAAACAAACACTGTTTTGAGCATAGTTTGTTAATATTATATGTTGTTTGAGCACCAAGTCACCATATTAGAATGATTTCTAATAACCCGCTTTGAATGTTATCACTTGATTGAATGGGTGTAATCAATGGTAATTAACTGATAGATATGGGCCAGTAGGGGCACCTACTAGTAGGTTCATAAGGCTGTTATCATCCATCCACATGATTAATCAGCTATACTAATAGAGAAGACTCCAGATTCAGATCTGTTTTTACATTACTGTGACGGTTTGGTTTAAGGTTGGGGTGGGGGTAGATGTTAAAAAATACAATTAATGAGAAACTTAATTATAAAAAACTAATTAAGCTGCAGCCGTATGTTATCGATAGCTGATTAAGCATGTGGATGGGTAATAACAGCCTTCTGGGTCTACCAGTAAGCACAGAAGGCCCCTACTGACCCATATCTATCAGCTAATAACCAGTGATAACTCCCATTCAATCAGCTGTTCTAATTGAACGTGAAACTGCAGACTAAAATAATAATGATGCTCAAAATTTCTCATCTGAGGAATTAAATCATTTTAGGTATAGAAAGATTAATATTTATCAAAAGTATATTTACTAGCTATTTGAAAATAATATTTCACAGTATAGCAGCATTTTCTATACTTAGTCTTAATGTGCGTAAGAGCTTTGAAAACACATTTAACAGAACACAAACCTTTGAACAGCAGTGTACATTTGGTCATACAATTGGGCAATGCATACTTGTCCTTTAATCTTACCGGCCAATCAGATCTCAGCCAAGATATATACATTAAGTATTGCTTTTGTAACAAGCACTTTCAAATATTTGAAACAGTTACCCACAAGCAATTTAAACCACTATTTTTAAAGCAATTGGAATGGATTTTGTCAGTAAAGCTAAACACTCTTTAAAGCTGACCAGTTCTGTGTGCAGTTACTGTATGTTATCCATCTTATTTTAACAGGCAAAAGAAGGCACAGCCATTGTAATTTAAATGCCAAGACCACATCCATTCATTTTTAGCCATACAAAACAGCTTGTTATATTGGCATTTCTTATTATATTATTTTAATGTATAGTCATAATTATAAACACACTGGTTTGTAGCACGTAGTTTGCCTGTTTCCTGCCATTTTTAATTACTAGTGTTTTCCCCAGAGCAGCAAATAAATTGTAAGTCTAAGACATTTGCAGGAAAGAGCTTAATACCGCATTGCAAAATAATGTGGATTGTACAGCTTGTTTTTGAGACAATCCTTTTGACTAATGCGAGTTCAGGTCTAAAATCTATTATAACCCTGTGTAACCCCAACAGAGGAACATTCATGTTTCCTGACAGCATTATTGCTGTATTGTAGTACTGCTTCAGAAAGCTCATGTGCAGCTGGTTGAGAGTCATTTTAAGCAAGAGCTCCCTCTGGTGCAGCGGAAGATCACCTTCACAGCAGCCAGAATCACAGCACTGCAGATGAGAGAGACTCCACTGAGGATGAATGTAGCTGTGTAGGAGCCTGTCTGATCCACTAGCCAACCTGAGAAGGAGAGTTCAGAAAACAATCTGATTTAGTTGAATATGCTGCTGCCATGAACAGTTGAATATATACAGTGAAGATCAAAATTAGGGAACAATCTACAATTTCTTTTATCTTGAGGTCATATTTGAAGTTATCCTACCTGGATAAGGAGCCGATTCTCATTAGTTAACATACAGTAAAAAAATCTTGTTTTGTTTTTGATAGTTTTTAAAAAAAAAAAAAAAAACCTTTTAGATAACTATAGGCACCATTATATCAAACCCTTAGGTACTGCTTAGATATCTGAAGAACCTTAGGGTAACTGGCAGCCTAACTATCCAGCATTAACTGACTTTGCAAGATGGTTAGACATTGCAATAGGAACTATGCTGAAAACTGAAAACCTTGGAAGAATGGAAAAGCCAGCCCAGAGTCCTGATATAAACCTGATTTATAATCATGTGAAATCCAAATTTAGTGAACTTGAAGAGATTTCATACCAAAGCAGTAAAATAGACTATTGATTAGGCCTGTCACAATAATCAATATATCGACTTATGGCATAACACATGACCTCAATCATTTTGGTGATGCAACATATATCACCTATACAAAAAAAAAAATTAACAATACCAGCAACATTTCAGCTTTATTAACAGTGTCAGTATGCGTAGAAAAACAATTTAGCATTTACTATATAAATTACTTATTCTTTATTACTATATATACTATTAATATATACTATACTAATATTTACTATTATACTTATTATTAGTTATTTCTAACAACTGAAAATAGATCTGTTACTTTTTTCTAGTTCTTTATACCTTGTAGATTTTTGTTAACATTTATCATTTTTATTATTTATTTGTTTAAGATGTTACGTTTTCACATTGCAATTCTAATGCCTAATTATTCAATTGTTAAAAAGACTATGATAAAATAAAATTACATTTTCGTAAGAATAAATTAATATGTGCTCTTTGGAAGAGTGTACTTGCATTATGATAATATTATATTGTTATTTTGGCATTATAAAATGAGTGACATAAAATGACAATAATAAAAGCGTATATAAATAGGATCGCAACTGTACTGTAAAAAAAAAAACGTAAAATCATCATGGTCATTAAATTACAGAAATTCACAGTAAAATATTGGTCGTTAAATTACAGAAATTACCTTAAAATAACGTTGTTAAAATTACAGAAATTTACCATAAAATAACGGTCGTTAAATTACAAAAAAAATTTAATAACGGCTGTTAAATTACAGAAATTTACTGTAAAATAACGGAATTTAAATTACAGAATTTTACCATAAAATAATGTACATTAAATACAGAAATTTACCATAAATAACGACTGTTAAATTACAAAAGTTTACCGTTAAATAACGGATGTTAAATTACAGAAATTTACCATAAAATAGTGGTCGTAAATTACAGAAATTTACCATAAAATAACGACTGTTAAATTACAAAAATTTACCGTTAAATAACGGATGTTAAATTACTGAAATTTACCATAAAATAGTGGTCGTAAATTACAGAAATTTATTATAAAATAACGACTGTTAAATTACAGAAATTTACCGTAAAATAGCGGTCGTTAAGTAACAGGAATGTAATATAAAATAGCTGTCGTTAAATTACAGAAATTTCCTTAATTTAATTTCTGGTAAATTTCTGTAATTTAATGTCTGTTATTTAACAATAAATTTCTGTAATTTAATGGTCATTATTTTACGTTTTTTCTGGCATCCCAAACCATAAAATTAAGTTTTTTTTACAGTGTGTATGTATAATATCTCTGTAATTTCAGTAATGTATGATTAACTCATGGCATGTACTGTAATATGAAAATGTGTGTGTAACATCCGGATGAAATCCACTGACCTCCAATAGGTGGGCTGATGAGGTAGGGAATGGCATGGAGGAAGTAAACAACTCCTAGAGCTGAGGTCAGCTGGGCGGAGCTGACAGTGTCAGAGGTCACCACAGGAATAAGAGCCACGTAAGCTCCGTCAAAGTAGCCGTAGATGAGGGAAAAGGGGACAAGCAGAGAAAATCCACTCAGCAGAGGCAGAAAGAGACAGCTCAGCCCTTCTGACCCCACAGCCAGCATGTAACTCACCACTCTGTAAGGCCTCAAACACCTGAACACAAACACACACAGATATTGATCAAACTGCAGACATGGGAATCATCAATAATGGCAGAGACACTAACAAATACAAATATTTTAGTTTTAAAAAAATAAATATTTTTTCAATGGATATGGTTGAGTTTCTTACACTAAAGAAGTTATTTTGAAGAATGCTGTTTAATGGTATCCATTGACTTTTGTATCCATTGTTATATTTTTCCTACTAGAAGTCATGGAGTAATATCAACCAGCATTTACATAATATTCCAAAACATTTCCAAAATCTTTTATTTGTGCACAACAGAAGAAAGAAACTCATAAAAGTTTAAAACCACAAGAGGGGGAGTAAATCTAGGGTAATTTTTATTTTAGATTAAACTATCCCATTTAAGCTGCTCCAGCAAAATAAGTTTGAATGATGCCAATGCTTTTCGGCTCTTTCAGTCTGTTTCACTAGTCATTAAAGCATGATGCAACATGAGCAACCATCTCATGGATAATGCATGAGGAGAAACTCAGTTTGAATAAGTCATTTCTGAACACTACTCAGTGTTTTATACTGTATGAATGTAATTCAAACATACTACATTGGCAAAGTTGTCATTGCCATGTGATTTACAGCATCATTTACTTTACTGTCATTCAAAAGTGTTCACTGTATGTACAGAATTTGGATTTTTTCATACAGTTCTGGAAAACTTTTAAGACTTTTCATAAAGTTCTGCAAAAATTTAAGAGAGCACTTCAATTATTATTATTATCTGGATTCCTATGAAATAATGGATGGTCTAATTATATCAGAGATAGCTCTAACAGTTAGGGCTTAAATTTACTGTTGCTGTTTTTAATTGTTTTAAATTATATTAGATATATTATAAACATTATATCTGTAGTTATTACAATTATTATTTATAACACATATATGTAATTTATTAATATTTTAATATACATTAATTTGCTAATTTATTCACTCAATTATTTTTAATTACAGGAATTTAATTATTTTTCTATTACAGGACTTATGGCCTATATATATATATATATATATACAACAGTTCTGTCTGATTCTTGAATCTACTTGGCTGATACAGTAGCTGTGAGATATTTGCCAGTAACAGCACACAAAGGCCTTTGTGTATTACTCTGCCCACATACAAGCAGAGGAGGCTCGACAGTTTGACAAAAATCCCTGCTGTTGGGCAACAATGTTCTTTTGCGGCTTTTTTAGTCGAGAATCTACTTGTTTAGATTGCAATTATGCAGTTTATTTATAAGGATAGTGCCTATTTTAAAATGTTTATAATTTCTGAGAGACAGCACGTCAGTGTTCATTAGTCAAAGACGGTTGACGTTGTCTATCCACAAGATGCCGCCAGGACAGTATAAAAAGCCCTTGCTTAGAAGAAACTGCGTGTTTTCTTACTACATCTGACCAAATCATTATTAAACTGGTAAGTGATATTCTAAGTCGATCTCTTTTGTATAGATTGTAACTATACAGTTTATTTATAAGGACAGTGCCTATTTTAATACAGTTACTTTTCTATCCCGGTTCTCAACAGTGTTATTCAGAGACCTTACCCCCAAACACCCCTTCCTTATTGCAAACACAATAGCACTCTGGTAGTGCTTGCGCTGCTTTTTCAGGGTTAATTATTGTGATATCCCTATTGCAATATTGTAGATTATAATAGACTCTAAAACTGTAAGAAGATACCTCTGTAGACGGAGGGCATTTCATGTCAAATTCAGCCTTATAATCCTACAATGTCAGCAAAATCACCTGTTTTGTCATCACTTTATACATTACACTTGAGAATCATTCAAACAAAAGCTCTAAAGTGAAGTTGGTGTATTAGTAATGGGTTCTGCTGTTCTGACGTCAGCTGCAGATGTGAATGAATGGTGGATGAAAGTAGTTCCAGAAACAAAAGGGTTTTTAGACTCTCCGTGTGTGATTTTCTTTTTTTATATACATGATTGTGCCATTGAACTGTTGTATAAACGCAATATCACACTCGTAGCAGTGGCATATGGCTGTATATCAGCACTGGTGGGATGCTGCAGCCTCGTGCCAACGCACGCCTCCCATCAGTGCTGATATAAAGCCATGTCGCATTGCTACTTGTGTGATTTTGCTCATATATATATATATATATATATATATATATACACACACACACACACACACACACACACACACACACACACACACACACACACACACACAGTTGAAGTCAGAATTATTAGCCCCCTATTGACTTTTTTTATTTTTTAAATATTTCCCACGTTATGTTAAACAGAGCAAATCAGTTTTTACATTATGTCTGATAATGTTTTTTTGAAGTCTTATTTGTTTTATTTCAGCTAGAATAAATACTGTTTAATTTTTTTAAACACTATTTTAAGGACAAAATTATTAGCCAGTTTAAGCTTTATTTTTTCTGAAAGTCTACAGAACAAACCATCGATATACAATAACTTGCCTAATTACCATAACCTGCCTAGTTAACCTAATTAACCTAGTTAAGCCTTTAAATGTAATTTAAAGTGACCCAGTCGAGGCTCGAACCAGTGACCTTTTGCTATGAGGCTACCCACTGCACCACCGTGATGCTCTACAATTTTAATATTAATTATAACTTAATAATAATAATAATTTCTGTAATAAATGTTTTTTAATGTTGAAATTATTCAACAATTCAAACATTCACAGACACAAATAGATGTCTAATATAGATGTAGCCCTTTGCTATTGAAAGTTTTCAGAAAGACATAAACCCTTACTTACTTTCGATCTGCAATCCATCCGAAAGTGATCGTACCGATGATCCCCGACACTCCAAGTATGGACATGACTAATGCAGCCTGTTGAGGGCTGACACCTGCGCTTAGTGAATATGGCACAAGATACACAAATGGCACACTGCAACCATAGGCAAGAAACAGGAAGGACACCAACAGCAAAAGGAAGTCTGGTATCAACAGGAAAGAATATTCTTTCAATACAGTTTTCCTTAAGACAGACCATACATTTTCCTTGGATTCCTTTAGTAATTTGGCTTTTACCACTTTTGATTTAGCCACAGTGCTTTGGTTGTTGTTTCCTTCAGATTTTGATTCTGGGAAAGTTATGTTCTTCTGGTATTTGAGCAAATTTTCTAATGGTAAGCCACTTGATTGTACTAAAGCAGGGATTGAGATGGTTCTTGGTTCTTCTTCACTCCATTTGTTCACAGTTTTAGGGTTCTCAGAAAGATCCTGTCCATGATTTTCTTCCCCATCTAAGTGTGACTGCTTCATATCATCAGCCTCAATCCATCCTTTTCCATTCCTCAGCATGTTCTCAGATGGTTCTTTTTTCTCCATCTCTTTCACTACTGCATGCGTCACCTCCATCGATCCTCTCAACTCCACATAAGCAAGTTTCACATTTAACAAATCAACTGTTTTGCCATTCTCCAAGTCCATCTTGTTCTGCCTGCCTCTTTGGCTCTGCAGTGGCCTCATAAGGGCCCCACAGACACACAAATGGGACACCAGACCCGCCAAAATGAGCAGTGCGCCCCTCCAGGAGAAGAACTCGATGAGAAGTTGCACAGCCGGTGCTAGAATGAAGGTCCCAATGCCGCTGCCAGACATGGCGATCCCGTAAGCCAACGCTTTCCTCTGGCGGAAGTAGGAGCCCACCATGGCGATTGCAGGAGTGTAACTGAGAGCAAATCCCACACCTGTGGAGAGAAGCAGGAGGGCAGTGGTACTTCAATAAAGTAATTCATTACTAACTACATTATTAAAATTGTATTTAAATGACTTTTCTTATTCCTATATTAGAAATGAAATGTAATTACTTTACAGTACTACTGAAAATCCCTATAAATCTCAACACAGACAAATGTGCAATTGTTTTACAAGTGTACCCTTCTGTGGTTAAATCAAACAAACAAAAGTATAATTATATGAACACATTAAAATAAGTTTATAAATGTAGCCAATTTTAGTTGGAGAATACAGTTATTCTGCTAAATATTTTTGTATACAATTAACAAAGAAATACAATTGCTCGGTTCTATGAATTGATTTGTATAAAACTGTTTAAAGTATTGAAAGCGAGTACAAGTAACTGTACATAACCTAATAATATGATTTATGATGCTAATTTCACATTAAATTGTCACAATATTTTAGCAAAATTATTTGAAGCAAATTTAAGTTGAAGAATCCTTTTATTTTTTTCTTAAATGCTGCACATTATTTGCTAAATGATATATTTTCTGCCATAACTAAATTGTTATTAAAAAAAACAAACAAACTAAAGAAGTGAAGTTTATTCATAAACTAATTTCGAGAGGATCATGTGCTTATGATTTATCACGGCCAGTCTCGCATTTGCTAATCACTATCTTCCAATCATATGAGCCCTAAGCTACTATAAATAGCCACAGTTTTCAGTTCACTTTATTTTCGTTTGGAAGAACCCCCCCTCCTCCCCTATTCTCCTCCTTTACCTCTGATTGGGCGGCACGGCGGCCCAGTGGTTAGCACTGTGAGCCCCACAGCAAGAACACTGCCAGCCCTGGTTTCACAGAACCGGTGGGTGTTTCTGTGAGGAGTTTGTATGTTCTTCTCGTGTCCGCGTGGGTTTTCCCTGGGTTCTCCGGTTTCCTCCCACCAGCCCTGGGGCTCGAGGGGCTCTCTTTTGTTGCCAAACAAGCTTTTATAAATCATCAGCTAAGTGTGAACTCTTGAATACTCATTAATATTAACAAATTAAACTGTGACTGTTTTAGGATTTTACATTTTTAAAGAAAAATATCAGAATATCTATGTTTTCTGGCATAAGCTGAGGTCTTTGCACATTTACAATGTGCCCTGCTGATAATCTCTTTTACTGGGGACTGAGATGGCTGGTGTTGAGAGGTAAGCCTTTCCTAAACCAGAGAGCAGTGTGTACAGGGGTGATCAATAGACCCTCTGCTCCAGGGGACTGGCCACTGGCATAAACAAACTGATTATAAATTACTAATTACATAGTAGGATAGAGACAGGAACTGAACATGATTATGAAGGTGAATAATTAATAATAATACGTATCAGTAGCTATGTTTCCATCCAAAAAAGCGAATTAACTGTAAGTGCAAAACTGGATTATCGCATACAAGAATAAAGCAGTGTTTCCATCCAACGAGTCAAAGCAAACAAAATCGTCACTTCCTGATTATCTGGCACCAAATATCAACTGTAAAAACGGAATTTGCTGCGATAAGAGAAGCTGCGTGAATCTCATCCTTCATTTAGCAAATGACTTTGACACGCAGTAAATGCATTGTGGCATTTGAAGGCGTGAGACACGGAGCACAGACGCTCTTGATTCTGGAGGTCATTAATAATATAATAACACTTGTACTGAGATGGTTATGGTGTTTTAGAATAACCAAAACAACATTTCAGATGTTTTACAATGTGCTCAGCCTGCTGGTTTGTCCATTGGCACACATTATTATCATCACATGACCTTTTGTAATGTGCATACTGGAATTTGTTCAGAGAAAGTATTTTCATAATAGTTTATGCACATCTGATCGAATATAAAGTTTGTCCTACTCAGTTATGCGCACGCTATTTATGCGCATTTTTTAAATTCATGTGCATCTTGGCGTTTCCATTAACCAATTTAATGAGCATATTCAAAATGTGCATAAAAATAGGTGGAGGGAAACATAGCTACTGTTATACACTTAAGAAGATATCGTCTTAAACATTTTAAAATATAATAAGCAAATAAGTAAAATTATTAAAATATGCATAAACTCATTTGAAAAGGAGAGGGTAAAAATAATCTAATACCTGCTTCTGTAACAGAATAACTTTCTCTTTCAGTCTGAAAAACATCTTCACACTCTCGCTATGAAAACACCGATGCACCGTCTGATCTTTATAGCACTCGTCGGAACAAGCGGAGCTGCAAATCATTCGATACACGTGGTTTGGCTTATTAATATATATTTTTTTGTATATAGATGTCTGTGACAGTAGTTTTTCACTGTGCTGACGGGTTATGTGCATCATAATTATTGTTCTGTTAGTGTGAGTAAACGTCTTTTTGCAGCATTTGCACACAGTTTGTGTTTTGTCTGGCGAACTTCACCGCTGTCATTTTACTCTGCTGCCCCACCACTTGCTCGCCAGTGATGTGCAGGTAAAGTGAGTTTGCACCTGAAAACGCAGCGCCCCCTCTGTTTAAAAAATGTATAGCGTTCAACATTTCTACTGGTTGGAATCGTCACACATAAGACTAGTTTTTCAGCTGGCCCACAGTGAATCATTTACAACCCTCATGAACAGTACTCCCTTACTTTACTTTTCCACTGGATAATTTTCATGATTCACATCCCCTGTTTTTATGTGTTTTCTGTTACGTGGTGTTATGTGGTGTTCTTTAGTTATTAGTTACCTTGGTTGTTTATAAGTCTCCACTGCCTCGTTATCTTGTTTAGTTGTTTAGTAGTTTTTTTTGCACTATTTACATACTCTTCTGTTAACCTCTTATTGTCTGTTGTTTTTGTTACTTATATGATGTCCGTGTGTTCCCTGTTCTCCGTGCTATGTTTTTATGTTTTGGATTATATAATAAAACTTCACAAGACTGCATTTGGATGTTGACTTTATTATTTACCTTTTGCATAGCACGTCTGACGTAACAATAAGTAATTTAATTACAGTAACAAGTTACTTAGTAACTACGACACTGCAGGAGGGTTAGTATTCACAACTATGCTGACCTACAAAGTCAACTGAGTAAAACAACTGAGAAAAATTATATACCTTGTTTTGTTTCCAGCCAAATTAAGTTTAAGTATAACTGAAAAGTTGGAAGTTAGAAAATCAACAAAATCAATTCAAGTTACTTATTCAAATGATCAAAAGCATCTTTTCTCAAAAATATCAAAAACACATGGCTAATTTATTGCAAATCAACATACTGGTTTGCAGGCCAAGATGACTTATCTTTTTTGTCTTCAATTCCAATTATTAGTACAGAGGAAATAGACGTTTGAGGTTTTTTTTTATGGGGTGGTCCAAATTACATTTTTAGGCTTGGTTGTGTTTAAAAGATGCAAAGCAATGTGTGCTCATGCTTTATTTGTAGAAAGGTGAAGATTGTGGCTGTTGACAGCGGTTTGACGGATTATAAATATGAATTTGTAGCTAAATTGTTAACGTGCCAAACAGCATTTCCCGTTGTTTACATCCTTGTTTAAGTCCTCGCTACAACATACCCTTAAAGCTGGAAACTGCATGTAATAGATAAATTTTATATATTAGAATTCTTACAGGTTGTGGCTCACAATCCACAGCCACATCTATTATGGTTGGAGGAGTTTTTAGCAGAATCCAGCACTGAATTGGGAGAGATTCTGGAAGCTCCTTTGTCAAATGCTAGCTATATCTTTTTTATAATAATTTGGAACATAATTAAAATTAAATTGTAAGCACTTGTCTCTTTGTGTTGTGCCCTTTGGAAGCCCAAATACAAGGAACAGAACAAGCTTTGTGGAAATAGAAGCGTTTGGACAGCATTTTAGCTTTCTCTGCTACATTACATCGCCTCTGGCCACGCCCCCGCGCTCCGCAGGGTGAATGCATGTAACCTGAAGCGCCGGGATTCAAAATCGGGATGCCCAGAGCTCTGCCACACCATAAGTCGGTGCAAAAACCACTGGGCTATCAAGCCAACATAAACATTTGAGTTTAAAGTATTAAAAACAAAGTTCACAAAAAAATTTAAATTCGTTTCTCAAATCAAATGTAAAACTCTTTCCCAAGTGGGTGAAAAGGTATTAAACAGTCACAGTTTTACTGAAAACATATTTCTAAAGGTGCTGTTGACTTAAAATGTTCACCAGATGCCAGTAACAACCAAAGAAATACATACATACAAAGAAAACAAAAGTCAACAAGGCATTAAAAGCCCAGACAGCATCTGAAATCTATCACTTGTAAGTAATCCTGCCCTCATTAGTGTAAATGAATATTAGCTGCTTTAGTCCAGACATTAACATTACCAGTATGATTAGGATAAAACCAGGGTGCACATTTCAACAACACAATGATCCAAAACACAGCAAGGGAAACTCTCAAATGGTTTCAGGAAAAGAAAATAAAGCTGCTGGAATGGCCCAGCCAATCACCTGACTTGAATCCAATAGAAAATAAAAACTAAAGATTAGAATTGATTGACAATACTCATAGAATTGTCAAGATTTTAATACTGTGTTGGGGGATATGGGGATAAAAATCATACCAACTCCAGTCTCTGTACAACAGCTTTCCTAAAGCCATCATTAACTAATAAGGCTTTTATACAAAGTATTAAATACATTTCAGTAGTTCAGTTTTTTCTCTGTGTCATTCCATTGTTATTACACATAATGTGTTTCTGGGGAAAAATGTGTTGGATTTATTTTATTAATAGATTCATTTGTATGCTTGGACTGTTTGGATTTTTACCAAAATCTGGTAGAATTTAATGTCAGCAGCACCTTCAGAAATATGTTTACCTGCAAATCGTGACAAGTTCAATTCTTATTTTACACTCTGTATTTTTTTCTTTTTTTTTCCCAGCTGAACACGAAGAAGATATTTCAAAAAAAATGTTGCTATAACTATAGAATTCAATGGTTACCATTTTTTAAAATCCCAGTTTACTATGTCTTATTTTGTGTACAACAGAACATATTTAAAAGCCCTCGAGAGTGAGTAAATCATGACATAACTTTCCATTTTTGGGTGAACTCTCCTTTTAAGAGTGTCGTGTTTGTATTGGTGGTGGTGTATGTGCATCTGTATCCAACCTGTAAGAACACCCAGTGTGAGATACAGGAACTCCACGCTGGTGGCCAGTGAGCTGAGCAGAAGGCCAGTAGAGGAGAGAAGCCCACCAATCATGATAGCTATACGTGAAGAGAGACGGTTCCCGATATAACTACCCAATGGTGCTGTAGAAAAAGGAAGAAAGAAATAATGAAGTTGGTGGATGGCATGATAGTAAAGAGTGTAACTTTCTTATAAATGTAATGTTATGGCTGATAACTGTGGATTTTTATAAATAATAATGTCATTAATAAGTGAATATACATATACAGAGAAACCATATATTTAGCGAACATACATAAGCATATTAAATATAAGTAAATGGCCTACTTTAATGTTTCAAATAATTTTTGTGAAAATAAAATAACACATATACTGTAGGTCAAATGTTCATTATAATTAAGGGAATGTATTATTATTATTATTATAAAATTGAAACAATATACCTTTTCTGACCTCTAATGATTAAAATAATAAGTAATTGTACTTCATTTTATTATATTTTAATGTCATTGAATGAGTTCACTACGTGACAAAGGTTTTGTTGTCTATCTAACTTTTAGGAACAACAAATAATAACTTGACTTCTAGTTGATCATTTGGTAACAGAAGTGGCTTGTATGAAAGTTAAAGCCCTCTAAATTACGCTTAACCAAATAAAATATGATATGCCTTGATTGATAATTATTTAATTGGGACAGTAATGTCTGACTTTGCTTAGACAAAAATCTTGTCACTTTACAGAAATACACTCTCAGAAATAAAGGTGCACAAGTTGTCATTGAGGTGGTACCTTTTCAAAAGGTACAAATTTGTACCTAAAAGGTCCATATTAATACCTAAAAAGTACAAAACTGTTCCTCTTAAAATTTTTAGGTACTAATATATACTTTTGAGGTACCAATATGGACTCTTTCAGTACAAATGTGTACTTTTTGAAAAGGTACCACCCAGTGACAGCTTGTGTACCTTTATTTCTGAGAGTGTATGGAATATTAAGACATGGTGCAGTGGAAAAATAATGAATATTGTGTATGAGTCCCATGAGCTTAGAGGATTGCATCCATACATCTCTACTGTGACTCAAATAACTTATGAATAAAGTCATATGGAATGACAAAGAAAGTGTTCTTGCAGGACTCCCAGAGTTCATCAAGATTCTTCGGATTCATCTTCAATGCCTCCTCCATCTAACCCCAGACATGCTCAATAATGCTCCTGTCTGATGATGACTGGGCTGGCCAGTCCTGGAGCACCTTGATCTTATTTGCTTTGAAGAATTTTGTGTGGACTTGACTGATTTCTTTGATAATCTTGGGTCTATGCAGGTTCCAATAGGTCTTCTGCAGTATTTGTGATGATTGGGCTTCAGTTTCACAGATGATTCATCTAAAAAAATCTACCTTCTGTCACTTTTCCACATGATCTACTAGAAGACAAGTTATTATTTGAGACGAGACAACTGTCAGGTAGTGTACTGATCAAAATATGCTGGAAAATACTTCTTGGTATATAAACTAATGCTACACTGAATAACATTGTTGTGGATGTCTTCTGTAAATCATGGTAAAAAGGTAAAGAAGTATTAAATGGTACACATTTAAGTGCACAGTAAACAACTAATCTTAAACACATTACATTGTTTTGATGCTTGAAAACCCCCACAACTGATAAGACACAGATGCAAAACATTATTTACGTCACTAGATCAATCTAAATATGCTAAATGACAACAGCAGAAGTTGAGATAGATCCGGTAGAAAGGGCTTCCATAAGGTAAAATCTGCAAGTCACTACTTTTGTGACTTGTACAGTTAACCCTTACAAATCTGACACAACTGTTTGTGTGTGCTTATGTGGGCTTTTTTGCCTGCATTATTAATAAATAAATAGTTCATGCATACCAAAATGTGTCATACACCAGAAACTATATAACAAAATAATCTAATCGCTTCAATCAAGTAATCCGAGTCGAAACCACACAAATATGAAAATGCGTTTCTGTGAACATTCTTTCTCACAGATCAATCTGGTATCGAGTGGACTATGCACTGTAAACCTGTCAACACAGACTTCTTTGAAAACAAAGTTCTCCTAAAATCAATATAGTTTAATACTGTTTCAGCTGCCACCTCTCAGTTTTTCCAAGAAGAGTTATAAATAAATATATGTGTCTTACCACACAACATTGTGGTACAGTCCAGCAGAGAGTGTATCCACGCAGTTGCAGAATAATCTCTGGAAAAATATAACTGGAATTCCACAAAAAAGATGGAAACACACCTGCAACGAGCATGATAACAGGCACATTTAACAATGTAATATGATAAAATGAGTGGCTGCAACATTTATTTTAGTAATTTTTACACAACCTTTGATCAAACTGAACTTTAACTGTGAAAACTGGACTGGAGCAGTTATAAATTATTAGAATTTCATCTATTTTAAGCTGCTTTGACACAATTTACATTGTAAAAGTGCTATAAAAATAGATGAAGTGAATCAACATCCAAAACAAGTTTTTTTCTAGCTTTATACAACTTAATTATAAAAAAATTTAATCTTGATTGAGTTTAAAAGCAATTTTTGCGATCTTTAATTCTCATATTAAACTGTCAGAACAAAGTTGAATGAGGGTATCGTATTGATTGCTGGAAAGGTGAATAATAAAAAAAGACAAATGTGATTGAGTCATGAACTAACCTAGTGACCGCACGTGTGCAAACAGTGGTGAGGAAACATCCGGCTACGATCATCCAGCCCCATCCGCCATCCGGCGCTGTTGCTAAACATGGGTTTTTTTCACCCATCTCTAGTCTTCCTCTCTTCATCCTCTCCTTCATCCCCTCGCTCCTTTCAGCCTCTTGTTTTCTTTTCTGTCCAGTTTCAGCTGGTTTTGCTCTCCCCGGCTCTGTTCGGGATGTATTTACTAGCTCTTTTTCTCTCATGTTTCTGTTGCTTCTCGTTTTCATCTATGAAATAGTATTAAAAAAATTCTGCAAGACAAAAAGAGGGAACATTCATCAACTTATCTGTTTCGCATTTAAATCAATCTAAACACAGAGTTATATAAATTGCACATGCAGTTAGTGCAATGCACAAACAAAGATACGTTAACTTGCACCAACTTATGCTGAGCATTGGATTAAATACTAAAATGCACCATATGGGTCTCTGAAAGTTTAGCCAGAAAATTAACATTCTTGTCATCATTTACTTACCCTTGTAAATGTGTGAACACAAAACAGGAATCTACTCTATTACTGACTGTTTGGTCAATGAGAGACCTTGCAAAATTAAGAAATAGGAGCAAAAACATCCAGGCTGCATCTGATCTGCTACATTATGCAGACACACACACACACACACACACACACACACACACACACACACACACACACACACACACACACACACACACACACACACACACACACACACACTAGTCAGATCCAAACAGAGGAAAAGAACACAGTGTGTCTTTAGAAAAAGGGGCAGAAACTACTTCAAGGCACAAAATAAGTTGAAACATGAAACTAACTAAAAAACACACATAACAATTTTTTTTTACTCCTAATAATATTTTTTTTTTCCTCACCTCAATCAGCAGATTTCACCTCAATCCGGTAAAGCAGAGCCCGAAAGTCTGACCTGTAGTGATGATGGCCACTCTTCAAAATAAAGACTTGACTTCACTGAAGTAACACCTTTGACAAATGATTAAAATAACAGTCTGGGGTTAACAAGTTGTTAATCATTTTCAAGAGATGAATACTTTTATTCAGCATTGCATGTATAACCATTTACAGAACAGACAAAAAAATATATATTTCAAATAAATAATGTCAGACTTTGTTATCCATTGAAGTATCTTGAATATCGACTAGTGTGTACTGTTCATTGTCCCCTTTTGGGTCGATTCGTTCTGCAATGTATTAGATTTACAACAAATATAACATACAACACACTTAATATAAACATTAAACAATATTAATGGCACTAAAAAACTGCAACTATCTCTTCCTATTAAAATTCATCAAACCAATCGCACAAGGAACAAATTAAAATTTTAATTAATCTGTTGGTCCTTGCCAAAGGGACACTACCGAGATACTGATGGAAGTATTTTATATGGATCAAAAAGAGGATGGGATATATCAGATGTAATCTGATGGGCTCTTTTTAACACTTGGCTTTCATAACAATAGGATAACCCCGGCACTTTTACCCCTAATACTTTGCTGCAGGTTCTTAAAATATTAGACAAGGAGTTCCTCTGTTTTGTATTAAGCAGGTGTTTTCAATCAATGCAGAATACAGCTGTGCTGCTTCATCTTTTAGAGGAAACAGTGATGCCTTTTAGTTTTCAGGATTTTATTGATGAAAAAAAGAACATTATAACATTATAAATGATTGGTCAAAAGTTTTAGATTTTTCAATGTTTTTAGTTCCTTTATGAATAAATGTATTTTTACAAGACAAAAAGTCACATTTTCTACAAAAACAAAAATAAGAAGGAAACAAATAATATTATTATTATTGATCAGAAATGCGAGAACCAAAAATGTCTGATGAAAATTCATATTTGGTGGAAAAAGTACTGAAAAATCATACTCAAGTAAAAGTATCATTACTTCCCCAAAAACAAAGTGCAAGTAGAGCAAAAGTACCTGCTGTAAATATTACTCAAAAAAAGTAAAAAGTAGCTCTTTTAAAAGCAGAGTAGTGAGTATTATGCTGTGAAAAGCATTTGTGTTTATTTGCAATGTGTGCATGTGTGTGTGTAAACGTAACATTCTGTAGTGCATTTAGTTATTAAGACTATTTCATTCAATCATCATCATTATTCAATCATCATCCTTTACTTCTCCTCAGTGACATGCAGTCTGTGGGTAACTACGTGTAAAGATTTTTGACATCTTCTTGGACACTTTTAATGCTTCCAAATGGTTAGCTGCATTAATAAAGCACCCATATCTTGATTTGAATTCTGATTGAATTGTTCAGTATGATGTGATTTGCTTTCTATGTGCAATTTGATAGGACAGGAATCGCAGGGCTAATTTTTCTACTGAGCTAATCCATATAGACAAGAAAAAATAAGGTAGTGGCTGCAGGTTAAAGGAAAATAGTGGAGTAAAAGTACTGATATGGCACTAAAATGTACTAAAGAGAAAGTAAAAGTGCACATTTGTAAAACTACTAAGTGAATTCCTGAGGAAAAACTACTCATTTTAAGTAATTTGAATATCTGTCATTTATTACTTTACACATTTGAATAACTTAAGATGTATGTATTTTATTAAAAAAATTGATTATTAAAAGTTTAAATAAAATTAGTGTTATTTACACTTTAGACCAAATAAATGCAGGCTTTCTGAACACAAACAATAGTATTTTTTATAACTTTCTAAAACATTCTGTAGATACATAGGCTATACAAAGACACACACACACACACACACACACACACACACACACACACACACACACACACACACACACACATACATACATATATACATATATATATATATATATATACATATATATATATATATATATATATATATATATATATATATATATATGTGTGTGTGTGTGTGTGTGTGTGTGTGTGTGTGTGTGTGTGTTACCTCATTAATAACAAAAGAAATGCAATATACACATGCAGTGATGAACAAAACAGACCCCAAAAATACAAGTACAGTTTTCACTAAAAATAATGAAGAATTGTCAGATGAGAAAAGTCATTACACTTGTGTGCAATCACTTGGTCCACCGTTCTGAACAACACACAAACAACCTAAATATATGACTAAGCGTTTGTAGACGTTAAGGAGAAACACTTACTCTGAAAGACACTTCCCATTGTAAATCTACGACGGACGAGGAACAAAAACAAGCGCTGCTCTCCTCCAAAGTGTGGTCCACATTGGCGCACATGGCTCCGCATCCCTGGACAGAACAGAGCAACGGGCGGAAACTGCAGCAAGTCAACGCGGCGACTGCATCTGTGGGTGAGAGTTAGCGGACTAAAACTTCAGTTAACGGCAGTCCCGAGTCCGATATTCGCCATGTTTTCCTTCTCACCCATCCTGTGTGCATAATATATAATGTCTTCCAGGGGGGTCGAGTGTTTTAATGGAATATGAATAGGATCATGTTTTCAGGACACAATCTGTTGAGGTCCCCCTCAAGCAAACCAAACTCTATTTGTCAAACTCTTCCTAGTACAGTTAGCTGACAAGAAAAATTATGTAACACACTATTGATTTTTGGCAGCAGGTGAAAATACAGTTCAACTGTTTTTTAAACATTATTTGCTAACTTAACCCCAAGTAAAACATAAAAAATAAACATTAATGTTAAAAAGACTATGTAGGCTACTTTTTAAACCTTGCCCGCTCGATTTATGCTAGTTTTGTTTTGGTGGGGGTATAGGCTAGGACAGGGAGTTCCTACAGTTTATGCCCAAATGTACATTGGAGATAACGAGAACGGCGATTTGTCCATACATATTAACCTTGGGGGTAATGTGAACCACCCATTTGCTTATCAAAGCAGTTATTTGGCAACCTTAGGAAGGGTAGATATAGATAAAAGCTTGACTTTTACTAGCAATTTTGTTGCCAGGTTCATTTTTGCACATATATATATATATATATATATATATATATATATATATATATATATATATATATATATATATATATATATATATATATATATATATATATATATATATATACATACATACATATCATACACACTGGTCCAAAAAAAAAAAAAGTGTGAATTACAGGTTTGCAGCTTTCTTTAAAATATCTTCTATTGGGTTCAACAGATGAAAGGATCAAGTAAAAAACAAAAACCAATGCATTCTGATTTTTAAAAATTTATTATTAACTTCTTTCATGAGTCTATGCATCCTATCATTCAATTCAATCCAGTTAATCACACAGACATCAAGACTCATATTTTTTAAAGCCAAGATTTCAATGCAGAGTGGCTTTAGTGTCATCTGAGAGGTGAAAACCAAAGACAAGAATATTTACATGTTTTTACAATCTCAAAACAGAACAAAACATCAATTAAAGTAGCATCAACAAAAACGCAAAGGATCACCTGTTTAAAAATGTTCATAGGAATCAAATGAAAACACACAGAAAAATATCAAAGAGAAATTAACAGTATTAAAAAGAAAAACAGTAGTACTGACACAAGTGGCAGACATGACGCAAGCAGCTGGTTTCTAAATACTGCACGATTGTGTTAACCAAGCTGATTTCAGCTTCACTGCATAGCAAGAGGAGTTAAGGTCAACTTTTAGAGGAAGCAGTTACATTAGTAAAACTGTCAATGATATATACTAAAACAGACTTTAGACATGTCTGTTGTTTCTACATTACATATAACTCATTTAACGGGCAGCGGTTTTGCAGTTTACAGGTCGACAACAACAAATTAGGACCCCTCCCATGTTTGCAAAAAAAACAAAAACATAATACTGTGTACTACAGACACAACAGGTGACAGCTCTGTTTAATGTATAGACTTATGAAGTGCAGTTAAACAGGCTTGAACTCTTTGATATATGCTCACACTTGCATCTTGCTAACATTGTGTGACAAGAACAAACTGTTTAAAAAAGTACAATGTGTGTGAATGTTAATTGTCTATATGAGATACTGCTGTCATACTGATATATTTGTAATCAGAACATCCAAATCTAGAATGAGGGTTTTAAACTTGGTAGTTTTCCTAAAACATTAAAATCAATAGGAACAAATAATATATTAGTAATCATAAAACGTAAATAAAAATTACAATGTTTGTGAATCTCAGCAAAATATTGTACACAGAATGTGCTGTAAATAGATTAATGCCAAATATTAAAGGCCAACAAAAGTCATAGTTAAATACTGTAAAATGTACACAACATTTTAAGCAATTAATTAAACCCCAAAAGAGGTGAACATGAACACTTTTTGAGGTCCCCAACAATTTTCTTTTTTAGATTTTCTTTTAAAAATGACATTGAACTCATTCTTTGAAAAAACTAAAAATATTAAAATGCAAAAAACGAATGCAAGACGAAACAAAAGACAAATGCAACCACATAAAAGGCATATACTGTAAGACAGAGGTCTGACAACAGAAATGACTGGAAGATCGGTGGTGTTTTGATTTTTGATGACATCCTGAATTTCCTTTCAAGTATACTTAATATTTGAGAGATGCATTGTGATACAAAGCCTGGCAAAGCAGGAATGCATGATTGGACTCCCATTCTCAGTTTGGCACTACAATGAAAACACAATGGCAGAGCCTTTGAACCGTCTAATCATGTTTGATTTTTGAAAGGACGAGGAAAGGGGGTTTGTGGGTAATTGCTGTCATAACGATTTAATATTTCTATTTTGCCATTTCTCTGAAACTTTGAGCACTGTCAGTACCATTTTTCAAACCACAGACAAGAGGAAGGCAACTAACAAAGAGGAGGTGCATGAAGATAACTGCATGCATTCTGAATGAAGCAGCTTTGAGTAAGATAGAAAGACGAATGGTAAAAGGCAGAATTAAAAAAAATATAAGAAGCAAAACTGGAGAAAAATAAAAAATGTGGGATTATATGGGAGCTTTCAATATGAAGTGTCAAATTGGCCACTTGGTCCCATAGTATTCCCTCTCAAATCTAAAAGTGAGACACCCTGAGCTTTCTGTGCATCCTTTTAAAATGAAAGGCTTTACGTGAATCAGTTGACATACACATTTTATAACCTATTCTGGTAAAAATGAAATGGTGAACTGATTTATTCGATTGCTGACATGCATAAATGAATGGAAAACTGTAAAGAATTATTCAGCTTTTTTGGAAACAAACTAATTTTACAACTCTCTTATAGTTAAACAGGCGAGTCTGACCATTTCTGAATCCATTCAGCCGATCTTTGGGTCTGGTGGGAGCACTTTTAGCTTAGCTTAGCATAGATCATTGTATTGGATTAGACCATTAGCATCTTGCTCAGAAGTGGTCAAAGATTTTCAATAATTTTACTACTTAAAGCTTACTTTTAACCTGGACCGGAAATTGCCCTTTTCTAGGCTCATACATCTAGAAACTATACTCTTATTCTTGCATAAAAATCAAGAAACTTTGCTGTCATATCATGGCTGCAGCAGGGGCAACGATGGGTAATATAATAGTACCTGCTGCAGCCATGGTACTGCAGCGAAGTACCTTGATCATTACGTTGATACAAGTACACTTCTTAGATGTATCATCCTAAAAAATGTAAACTTTTTATTTTCCATCTATGAGCCTGTTTTCAAAAGTAATTATTCCTTTAACAGTAATGAAGATGAAAAGTAAAATTAGAGGCAACTGGAAATAGAGACTAGCATTTTTCCTAACTTACAGGATTCCTGACTAAAATAGCTAAGGACACATCTAACACAGCACCTAGGATAATATCTGATCTAGAGTATTGTTTGATATGATTTGGATTCTGGACAGCAGCTGAACACAAAAAAGACTCCAAAAGAACCATTACACTGAACAGGTTCAGAGACAACAAACAGGAAGGTTGAATATTCTCTCACATGGTAGTAGGTCAGCGATAGCAAAACTTAAACACAGCAGTATTTGGCCATCCGTAAACTCTCCCTGTTCATTACACACTTATATTTACAAACAGTACAAAAGAAAAAGAACAACTGGAAAACGTGTGTACAACAAGGCTCAAAACTCTGAGGGAGACTAAGTTACTCATAAAAATATTGTTTAAAATCTTATTTTCAAGGGATATTTACAGGTTAATAACTATAAATGGCATCTTTCAGATTTCCCAGTGTTCCCAGTTTTCCTGTTGGAGCTTCTGTGTGGAAGTCGTAAAGCAGCTTCTGGATAATCAGAGGCGATAAGAACTTTCTTTTATGCATCTTCAGACGACTTCAGCAGCTCTAGAAAAGCACCAACCGCTCCGAAGTACCCCTGAAACACATATGATGTTATGATCAAATTAAATATAGACTTCAATAATAAGGGGTCAGTACGATTTTTGCTGTTTTTTAATGCAGAAAATTAAAAAAAAGTAATGTTACAGTCACTTATAATGTTAGAAAAGATTTCTTCATTTGAAAGTTGCTTGGGAAGAAGACCTATAAATTTCAATCTCTGAGACTGGTTGGGATCAATGCCTTTTATCTGTTTATTCATGTTCTATAAATTACAGACACAACCTTAGTCAGTACAAAGTACTACACAGATTCACTATTCTAAAACAAAGCTTAGTAAGTCCTATCCCTCAGTTTCAGCAGTGCAAAGCTGCTGAAGGTACCTTAGCACATCTTTTTTGGACTTGTGTTCAAATTAAAAATTTTTGGTTAGAAATATTTCAGTTCTTTGCTAAAGTTTACGATTGTGTTTTACTCCCTGACCCAATGATGGCGATTTTTGGCAGGTCAGATTTTCTGGAGACTATCAACCGAAATGTACGGTTACCAGTTCATTATGAAAGTATAGAAATAAGAACTGTCAGAAATTACACTGATTTATGAAAAATCATGTGACATAAATAAAAAATTACACTTTAAAATATATAGTGTATAAAAAAACAACACTTTTTAACACTATTACTGTTTTACTGTATCTTTGATAAATGAAAGCCAGCCTTGCTGTAGGTTTATCTAGAATATTACTCACCTCATGCTTTTTAAATGAAGTGTATTTTACAAATCTAAGAAAGCTAGAGATTGAAAACAAATGTTAATCAGAATTACCTCATGTTCAAGGAAGAGGGCCCTCAGCTGGCCCTTGGACCAGAAGTCCATAGCATAGGCAAGGAGCTTTGTTGACACTGTGTTTATTCGTAGAAAATTCCCAACAAAAACAACCCGTTCAATTTTCTACAGGACAAAACAGAACAGAAACATCACTCAGTCACGTGCAGGCCTAAAAATAATCTGTGGATGTCTTGACACATTTTCAACACTCATTTTGTGTCTGCAAAATGTTCAGAAAAAGTTATTTTAAATCTAGTCACTGCTTAATTTGACAGATAATGATAGAATGAACCAGAATAAAACAAATAACTTTATTTCTTAAACTGGATCAGAAGGACCATGTGATTGAAATGATAAGTTGGAACATCCTGAATTTCCAGCAGCTCTTCCTCTGCACCAGCAGGGGGAGTCCTCACTCTTTTTTTTAAATAAATTTAAAACTTCTGCCATCATCTCATCACAGACGCTAGCTAATGTGATGTGAATCCTGTTTTCTCTGGGTGTTGTTGCAGGTTTCCGCTCTGATGGTGTTCTGTACACGCTGAAAGCCCTGTACAATGCTGCTTGATCACCAGGCTACAAGGCAACACTGTAGAGAAGCCCAGAGTGGCCAGAGAGACTGCTGCTCACTCCACATGCAAACACATGGAGACACTGCTCGCTGCAGAGCCATTTGAGCAGAGCTGCGCTCCAGCCAGGGGGAGCATGAGCCCCTCACTGGAGCTCAGCTCTGCCCAAATGGCTCTGCAGTGAGCACCACTTGAACACATGCACACTAACAAACACTAACACTACAAACCTCATTGACTGCACACATGCGTGCGATGGAGCCGATGTTGTTAGTGATGGTGACCAGTGTCGCTCGGGCTAAATCCTCTTTAGAAATGCTGTCCCTTTTCTCTTTGCTCATCATGTGACCAAAACTGTAATAAAAACACAAACTGTTAGAACATATACAGGGCTGGAATATCTGCTGTAATTTACAGAAGAAATAATAAACAATGAATACATGTCTGAGGACTTTATTATTAAAGTAAAAGCAAGCAAAAACAAACTAGCGGAAGGATGTATGATTTTTTTGGAAGAAGTTTCCCATGTTCATTATATTTGTATAAAAAAAACTGAGAAAAATATTGAAAATATCCAGTTATGATAAAACTAACCCTTAATAACATTTAGGGTTGATGATATTTTTGACAATTTATTTTTTATTTTTAAAATGAAAAAAAACTAATTGCTCACAAAGCTAAATTATTCAAATATTTCACCTCTTTACGACAAATGTAATTCATCAGATGCGGATCCATCTCAGTTTTATTTTTTGTCCTAAGATACAGAATTATTGGAATGGAATTTTTGAAGTGCTTTCTGAGATGCTGAAGTTGCAATTACGACTGGATCTAATGCTTTTAATTCTGAGATTCTCTGAACAAATGCATTTGTTGTCAAATACACAATATAAATTGCTCTCAAACGGTTTCACTACTGCCAAGAAGCTACTGCAACTGTTTTGGAAAAAAAGGAATCCCCAACATGTAAACTGTGGATTGGCCAAATTACCTCTATGACACATTTGGAACGATTTAGATATGGTTTAAAAAAAAACGTAAACAATTTGATTGTTACCTTGAAAAAAACCTTGTGAAATAATGCAAAATTCTCTTTATTATTATATAAGTATATGTACTTATATTCGGGTTACTTTTGGTTTCTCTCAGTGTGCGGTCTAGCTTATGCAGATCATTTCTGGGGCGGATTTAAACATCGAGATATATGGCTGTCTGTAAGTGCTCTATATTTCCTAAAGCTCTATTTTTGTAAATATTGTTACGTCCCGTGACTGTTTTATTTTTGTTTCTATATTGCAGTTTTTCTGTTTCCTGATTTCTTTTGTTTACAGATTGATGCCACCTGAGTCTAATTTGCGTAGCTAATCAACTGAGCTATAAAGACTGGTTGCAACCGACCAGAAGGCAAGGGAGAGGGGAGACGACATGTCTCACTTGAGCTGCTCCAGTCCCAGATACCAGAGGCTTCTGACTTCTATTTGTTTCATGTTCATAATGTGAATTTAGTTGCTGGTATAAGTAAGGTGTGACGTGTCTTTTTTTAATATTTTAAAACCTTTTTCTCCTGTTTCGGTGGGTAGGCAAAGGGAAGTAATATGTATTTTTTTTCTTTCTGGGAATGTTTATTTTGTTAGGTAAGTTAGTTTGTCTTAAATTAGTTATGGGGTATATGCCGAAACATGCTAATAGGACTTTTAATTTGCCATTAACCTGGGTTAAGCGCTTCCGGCGAATTGAATGCCAATGCAAAATCCGGTGCGTTTAAGGTCTGTTTTCTTTAAAAATCAGCGATCTCCACTAGCTGAGTGATATCCGATTTAAAGTGGGTGTCAGATTGTACAAGAAGCACTGCATTAAATTACATTTCCCCCATCATATCTTTTATTATATGAGCATTTATTTTACCCCAGTATATTCAATGGAGCTTCTGCATTAGCCTGCCGATTCTGACCGGTGCGTGCGAGTGAACGGCTTTTTGTCTCGTTTTACGCTTGAGCAACTAAATAAATGCTAAAGTTTATTTAACTGAATGTATTTTAATGACATTACAACATCAATGCTGTATAAGGAACCGTATAAAATGAGAAAAAGTTCACAATAACAGGTCACCGGAAGTGTATCAGCATGGGAACAGCACTAGCTCGGCATATTGGTTGTTTTGTTTGTTATTTTAGACCCCATATCCTGAGGTATTATTTTTGTTTTGTATTGTTTCTTTAAAATTTAAGATACATTATTCCATTTGATCACACAATAAATCAATGGTTGTCTGATGGTGATCAAAATATTAAGAATGTGTTGATTGTTGATTCTGGGTCTGAAAGGTACTCTCCCCTCTTTCTTCATTTGTTCGTTCCTAGCTGTCTTTTGCCTCTAGATTTAAGTGGAACGTAACAATATTAAATGGTCCTTTGATTAAAACCAGTTTTATACCACCTGTATTTTGTTGTACAAACACTTCTTTCGTTATGCTGGTGGTGTAGATATAATCATTTAGCTAATATTCGATTAAAATGGTCTGATTAATAGATTTTTCCTAATATCCGTATTAAGAAATGTAAAACAAAAAAGTGCACTATTAAAATTTGTCTGCTGGCTAAATTGAACTTGTTAAAGTAAATGTGGATATGAATATATTTTCCCCCCTTTTTGTTGTAGTTTTACAAAAAAATTTATAATAATATTGAGAAGAACAATTGCCAGTAAAGGTAACAAAGTTAAGCATACTACATTCAGCTGTCATAACTATGTCATAACTATGTCCGAGTGCATCAATTACATCAGGTTTCCGCGTTTTTCATGTGCTAGAATGTTAAAACGTATTTCCCATGAATTGTCAGTCACTGATATGGCCCTCAGCCAATTTGAGTTTGAGACCCCACACTTAATCATTTATTTCTTAGTTAGAAATGGATAATTTATTTTAAGAACAGTTCACTAAAACATTTGTTAGCAACTAAAACTGTTCTTTTAAAAAGCAATCATATATTTAAAGCAACCAAAGGCATGAAGAATGCATTTTGTGTCACATGAGACAGGCAGCTGCACACGTGAGACCCCATAAATACAGCCTCACATTTCATTTCACATTTTCTCAATTCACATTTCACCCGACACTACACATAAACACAGTGTGTCTTTTGTACCTTGAAGCCACTGCAGAGCCCTGTAGGCCGAAGCGCTGGTAGTCGCCACCATAGATGTCCTTCACCAGTTTATCCACATTAGTGCTGTCCCCTTTACTGGCCATCTCAAGTGCCTCTTCAAACGTCTCACAACCCGTCAACAAGCAACAGAGACCCAAAAAAGTCCCACCGCCAAGACTACAGAGAGGAAAAAAAAGGGAGAATTATGTACTGATAGACAAAACATGCTTATTGGGAACACATGTATTTCACACACATGTATACAATTTAACCTTTAAACAATTTAAACTGTGGTCACACACAGACCATGCACCGGTTGCATAAAGTTCAAGTTCAAAGTCTAAACTTAGGCTAGTCTTACACCAGGTGAGCTGCAAAAACAGATTTAATTCTGTAATGTAATAACTTTAAAATGTAAAATAAAACTAAATGTGTGTATATTTCATTCTAACATAGTTTTTTTTTTATTAAAACATAAAAAACATAAAAGATTTTTGAATATCTCTACCTTGAATCACTGTTATGATCAAATTCAACGCACTCATTTCAGCGGTTGTTGCTAGATCGAATACGGTTTTGGAAGGAAGTTAATGAGAAGGTCTTTATATTATTTATTAAATTTCCCATTTATTGTATTTTATTAACATCTACCCCCGACCCCAACCATCACAGTAACGTAACACAGTAGTTATACCTAGTATTATTTATGCTATCTATTAAATCACCCAATAAATGGTATTTTTTTACCCCCATGCCAACCCTAAACCCAACTGTCACAGTACTGTGTTTTTGGGTTAATGACTTCATAAAATATGATGGCAAATATTCAAAGCTTAATCAGGGTTTCTGCAGGTCAAAGTCAAACTTAAGACTTTTTAAGACTCCTTTTAAGACTATTATGAATTACATTTTAGACTTATGCAATTATATGCTTAATTCCAATATAATTGGAATATGGTATCTTTTTGCAATAAAAAACTTAAATACATATAAATACAAATACTGTTTAGATGCAGTGTCAGCCCGATTAGGTAACTTAAATAAGGTAAAAAATAAGACCCGTTTAAAATGATTTAAGACCTACTACACAATATATCTGTGAATTTAAATTTAGTTTTTGAAAGACATTTTAAGTCCTTTTAAGACACCACGGACACCCTGTTAATTAAAAGATCTCAATAGAAGCTTAGACAGTAAAGATGATGTTGGAAAAAATCTATTTGGTACAGTATTATACGAATAATCAATTCTGTAACTACTAGATAAATGATAAATTAACTACTAGATAAATAAATGCATTTTTAATAAGCATAATATACTTTTTCCAAAATTTCTAAAAAAAAATATTATTCCAAACATTGGACCTCTAGTGAACAGTGTTAAACATTCAAAAACGACCAAAAAAAAGACTTGTTGTTGCAGTGATGTTCAAATTGACAGCTAAAAACACCACAGAGGTTTGTAGCATGTGATCCTGATCCTCCTCCAAGTGTGACAGATTGGCACATCAGCTTTGACTAAAGCTGACAAATCTCCTCCCTTTTGTCAATCAGAGCTGAAAGGCTCCATTTCATTCTGGTACAAGCACATTGAAAATGCTTGTCTGACTCAGTGAACTTCACAACCTACAGTACACCACTGTCAGTCACACACTCGTTCTCTTCTATTAGATGACTCAGTCTCGTTTTTCAAAGGGAAATTCAACACAGCCGGAGCTGGTTTTGCTTCTAACAGGCTTGTGGTTCTGTGTCTATGAGAGATGAAGAAACAGTCAGGACTATGTGTTTAGCAAATAGCCAATGGTTAATTCACATTGCATGCTGGAGTGAGAAACGTTTAAATTTAAGCTTTATGATATTGATGGATCCTAACGGAAGTTGCTGACAAGAACAGAGGTGTTTCTTTGCACATTAAATAACAAGTAAATTACAACCAGCCCTTCAAACTGATTTCATTGCTATTTAGTACACCTATCTTTTCAGCAATTATCAACACCTAATGGAAGCAAATCATTCAGTGAGTTTCTTTTAGAAATAAATAAACACAAAATACAAATTTTATCTGTTATTAAAAGTTGGTAACATGTTTGAAATGATTTTTGGACCTTGACTAGTAAAGCACTGCACTAATCAAAATTAGGGGAACAATTCTCAGATAAAGCTTATACCGTTTTCTGGAATATAAGCTGTAAGCCAGTCACAAACTGACAATCTTTGATTTTGTGCAGATGATTATATATATATGCAATTAATAAAATACTTTGATTATGAGCAATATCACACGAGTAGCAGTGCGATATGGCTGTATATTGGCACTGGTGAGAGGCATGCATATACATGTATACAACCGTTCTTTCTGGTTCTTAAATCTGATTTAGCCATGCGATATATTCCTCACCCTTCTGTTTTACTCCGCCCACATAGATTGACAGGAGATCAGTAACTCACTACAAGTATTGCTGCTGGTGTACAACATAATGTACTTTTGAGACTTTTTAGGTGATAATGTAGTTGTTTAGATTGCAACAATGCAGTTTAATTATAAGTACAGTGCCTATTTTAAATATTTATAATTTTGAAGATACAGTGCCATTACCCTGTCATACTGAGCAGAGCAAAGTTGGTTGCGCCACAAGATGGTGACAGAGGCTGCATAGTGAACTCCTAAGGGGAGAAAAACTGAGCGTTTTCTTTTTATATTTCAAACAATAGCTTTATATTGGAGTAACGATTGATGACTAACTAAACTTCTCTGACCACTTTTCTAGAACTGCTCGATCTTGCAGATTTGCACTCTATAACATCAGAAAGGTCCGTACCTTCCTATCTGAACATGCTGCTCAACTCCTTGATCAAGCTGTTGTTCTCTCCAGAGTGGACTATTGCAACTTTCTACTAGCTGGGCTTCCAGCTAACTCTATCTAACCTCTTTAGCTGCTTCAGAATGCAGCAGCACGAGTGGTCTTTAATGAACCTAAAAGAGCACATGTCACTCCGCTACTCATTCGTTTGCACTGGCTGCCAGTTGCTGCTCGCATCAAATTCAAAGCTCTGATGTTTGCTTACGAAGCAACTTCTGGCTTTGCTCCTTCTTATCTGCTCTCGCTTCTGCAGATTTATGTGCCCTCCAGAAACTTGCGTTCTGTGAATGAACGTCGCCTCGTGGTTCCATCCCAAAGAGGGAAAAAATCACTTTCCCGAACTCTCGCATTTAATCTGCCCAGTTGGTGGAATGAACTCCCTAATTGCATCAGAACGGCTGAGTCACTCACTCGCTGTCTTCAAGAAACGACTAAAAACTCAACTATTTAGTCTCCACTTTCCTTCCTAATCTGCAATTGGCTCTCTGGGTCCACCGCTAACTGTATTACAAAAAAAAAAAAAAATTACTAATGTTTTGCTTCGTACACTTTACATACCTGAAACTTGCCTACAGCACTTATTCATTGTTGCTCTTATAGTTGTGTAAATTGCTTCCTTGTCCTCATTTGTAAGTCGCTTTGGATAAAAGCGTCTGCTAAATGACTAAATGTAAATGTCAACATATATATATATATATATATATATATATATATATATATATATATATATATATATATATATATATATATATATATATATATATATATAATAAAAAAAAATTAAATCATCATCAGTTGCACATGAAATTAATAAATATAAAATATTAAAAACACATGTGTAACAATAGACTGTGAACATTAACAGAATTTTCTGTATTTGGATGGCAAAATGTGAACGATTTTTAAAATTGTTTTATAAAAGTTAATTTTATTTATCTTTTTATTTTTAAGATATTGCTAGTACTTCAACATAATAAGTAAATCAAGATTGCCAGTATTTGAACGGCAAAATCTGCCGTTTAAACTGCACTCTGATTATTGTAATCGAAATCATTTCAGTCCTCACAACACGTTTTTATCTGAAATGTACTGCAACTTTTATTACAAAGTAATAATTACAATTATTAACATCAAGCAAGCAAATCATCTGCAAACTACCCACACGTTGTCCTGAATAACATAAGCATGTCTTCATAATGTTCTAATGCATGGTGTAAAGTTGCTCAACGGTGCTGACCTGGTGCCTGTCACACGCTTGTAGTTGTCCTTGGAGTTCACAGCCAGAATGCTGACGCCTGAGCCAATGTTGACCAGCAACATGGGGAAAAGGTTGTCAAGGCGGCAGGGTCTCTTGATGCAGTTCTGTGTATCAGATGGGTTTTCAAAGTAGTAGCATTCAGGATGACCATTAAAACCCACAGAGTCAATGTACAGCAGGCCCTGGATCAGACAGTCCAGCTCATCCAACTTCAGGAGTTCCAAATCTGCCATCTACAAAAAAAGAGAGAAAGATTCATGACTGCTCATTGCTGTCTTTATGACAAATAGATCATTCACCCCTTAAATGCATTTGTGAAATGTCTGAAATCGTAGTCATTCTTGAAGTATTGAAAAAGTAACATTGTAAAAACTAAAATGAGAGTGGAAGTTGTTTTTTCATTATATTGAATCATCTTGCAATACAAACAGACAGCAGAAAGTGTTTTGTCAGACAAACACTCCCACTTTTCCACTCCTGTTAAGAAAACCAGTAAACATAATGACAGTTATTTTAACATTCAGTGTTCATTTAACCTTCCTGTCGTGTTCGGGTCAAATCTGCCCGATTTACAATTTAAAACACTCATAAATATTGTTTTCTTACATCGAATTACCAAAAAAGATTGGGAAAGGATCAAGGCCTTATGATATCCTCCAAACTTTTTTGAATTTTGAGTGTTTCAATCAACCTTGTTACACCTTTAGGAAATGAATGGGTATCCAGACTATAGTCATCCATCAGACAGAAAACATCCCCATATACACCACTCCAACTTACTCACTCACACTCATTTCAAACTGAACAATGTCTCTTGCAGGTACACATTTATTTTCTGCACATATGTGCCGATCCTTCAGCCTGATCTCAGGAGAAAACGTAACTATTTTACGTTTTGTCAGTTTAGTGTCTAATTTGTACAACTTTAGTCAAAAGAAATTATATGATTTTAAAAAGGAGGCGGGGCACCCGACCCCACCCCCTAAAGCCAACCATCATTAGCATAAGCAAATCATACTAAATCGTACAAACGAGATCGTACAAATTTATATGAGACACTAAATCAAAGTTATAAATTGCCATAAGATAGCGTTGGATCCTCCAACTTGAACCAACTTCCTGATGAAACAATTCATTATATTTTCACACATACTAGACAGGTGTCTGTTATGTGAACCCATCTGTGTGTTTTCCTTTATTCTTTCTTTTTCTGGAAAGAAACTAAGAAAGAAGAAATTAATCTTGTTCCTTCTTTCATTCTTTCTCTCTCTGTTCAGCCAATCTCTGGGTCTAGCACGAGCACTTTTAGCTTAGTATAGCATCAAACATTTTTTTTTGCATTACACCATTAGCATGAGAAACTTTCAAAGATGAGGAAAGTATAACTAGTGCTAGTTCTGTGTCCATACTCACCATCTATTCCCCCAGTCACTATTCCCTACATGAGCAAACTAATATTGTCTAATTGAAGGACGGAATGAAAATTCGAGTACTCAGTACACAGGAAATCAAACCATTTTGTGTGTGCTTTGCTGTTTGATAATCATTCAGATTAATTAATTAAGAAATTTCAATTTCTTTGGTCAGATCCTGTAATAGTTAATTTAGCAAGCTGACTATTTGGTAATAAAAAAGTATTTTGATTTCTGTCATCTATTGATCATTTTGTAATGCATATTCAGTGCCTATTTGTATTTTCACTGCAGTTATTTTATGTCTAATTCTATAAACACTACTTTGAGACATTGTTGACTGGGAACACTAAAGTTAGGGACGGGATGTGAACATGATAGGAGAGTTAAATCAGTAACATTACATAAAACAATCAGCTTTGTTACTACCTAAAAATCAAATTCTCATTGATTGTAATATTTGCATTCAATCTTTGGAGGAATTTGGTCGCACTTTAAAATATGTGGCCTTAACTACTGTGTACTTGCATCTAAAAATATTTACATTGTACTTACTATGTTCATATTAACACATATAACACAGCAATGATGCTCTTGAGGTTGGATATGGATAAAGCGTGGTGTGTGTATGTTTAAGTGATGGGTTAAGGTGTAAGTGATGGGTGAATAGTGTAATTACAGTAAGTATAATCTAAAACATGCAAGTACACAATTAGTGCATTGTACTAAATGATTAATTAAGATGCAAGTAGGGCTGGATGATATGGAAAAATGAAAGAAAAGAAAGCCCTGAATATAAAACATCTGATTTTACAATCATTTTTTAATGTCTGAAAGCCCATTTGTGACCTGTCTCCTTACCGTCCTGAAGTCATTCTCAAACTTGTAAGCTCCGCCGCCGGTGGCACAGAGTGTGGTGTGCAAGCTAGAGAAGTGCTTATCTCTGCCCATCTGGATGAATCTGTGCATGGCGGCGGTGGGAAAGCGGATGAAGTGCAGGTTCCCTGTGCGACCGCAGATGGTCAGGTTGCGCAGCTCCAGGTGCACGTCGCGGATGCCAGTTTTACCATAGGCTGTGTTGGACGTGAGGTACCTGCGTATGCTCTTCAGATTCTCCACCTCCTCCTGCTCCTCCTCTGCAGTGATGTCTTTCGGCTCAAAGTATACAAGCTTTACTAAAGTACCACCGATGTCCATTCCAAACCATGGAAATGCTGGAAAGAAACAAAGAGATCAGTCAACATAAGTGTAGAAAATACATCCTTAAAGGACCAATGGCATATATGAATGCTTGATAATGGGCGACACAGTGGCTCAGTGTTTAACACTGTTGCCTCACAGCAAGAAGGTCGCTGGTTCGAGACCCAGCTAGGTCAGTTGGCATTTCTGTGTGGAGTTTGCATGTTCTCTCAGTGTTGGCATGGGTTTCCTCGGGGTGCTACGGTTCCCCTTACAGTCCAAAAACATGCAGTACAGGTGAATTGAATAAGCTAAATTGGACGTAGTGTATGTATGTGAATGAGTGTGTATGGGTGTTTCCCAGTTCAGGGTTGAAGCTGGAAAAGCATGCGCTGTGTAAAACATATGCTGGACAAGTTGGCGGTTCATTCTGCTGTGACGAACCCTGATGAATAAAGAGACTAAGCCGAAGGAAAATGAATGAATGTTAAATATATTAATTTGATACTTTTCTTTTGCAATGATGATTTATAATATTATTCATAGGATTGAGCAAATCTAATACCCAGTATGTTAGCCACATTCATTTGCTAAGATATACTGTACGTAATCTGACAATTGAACTGAAAAAAAACAGGAAGTGCATTTTCAGATTTCAACTAAAGATTAGAAGGGCAAACAAATTTATTTCTTAATGAAATGTACAGATGAATTGTTCACCACAAACTGTGAATGTGAGCTAACAAAATCATATGGCTAGTTTTGATTTATTTAACTTACATTAAAATAGAAAACAGTCACTTTTAATTTGTAATATTTCACAAAAATATTAATTTTACAGTATACTTTGTTAAGAAGGTCATCATTCACACTCATTAAGTAATTACTTTATATAGCTTTATTTTACATTTTTGGGAGATACAAAACACAGAGGTCTGGGCAAAGGTCTGGGCTTTGTATCTCCCAAGAATGTGAAATAAAGTTCTATAAAGTAATTATTTAATGAGTGTGAATGATGACCCTCTGAATGATATTATTAACTAGATTTATAAACCAAAAATGTAAAAATCGTGAGCGCGCAGTGCAAACTTTATTACTGAACAGTATATTTTGTAAAATCAATGCAGCCTTGACGAGAGCGTAATAGTAAACTTGAAATGATTATTTTTTTCAATCTGTCCACAAACTTTTGAGTGAAAGCTTCTTGAAAAACTGCAAGCAGGCCAACCAAGGAAAGGCACTGACTTGGTTGCCAAGAGCAACACTGCAGCAGCCAATGAGCAGACAGACAGTTACCATGGCAACAGCAGTGAGGCTCCAAATGGCTGTTCTAGGACACTTAGCAGGTGAGACAGCAGCAGAACCAACATTAACACAGACACACAGGTCTGCTTATTCATTCATTCATTTTCTTGTCGGCTTAGTCCCTTTACTGATCAGGGGTCGCCACAGTGGAATGAACCGCCAACTTATCCAGCACGTTTTTATGCAGCGGATGCCCTTCCAGTCGCAACCCATCTCTGGGAAACATCCACACACACACACACTCATACTACGGACATGAACAATTTAGCCTACCCAATTCACCTGTACCACATGTCTTTGGACTGTGGGGGAAACCGGAGCACCCGGAGGAAACCCACGCGAACGCAGGGAGAACATGCAAACTCCACACAGAAACGCCAACTGAGCAGAGGCTCGAACCAGCGACCTTCTTGCTGTGAGGCGACAGCACTACCTACTGCGCCACTGCTTCTTTAATATAAAAAACATTTCAAATATCAATGCATAGAAAAAAACCTGACCAGAATCTCCAAACAGTCTAAAAACCAGTAAATGAGCAAAGTCTTATCAGATAATGGGTACTTTATTACTGATGTGGCCTCTTACATCAGATGTTCTCTAAGCCGAGCTGAAATCAAAGAAATCATGAAACATTAGGGCAGGTCAGGGACAAACGTCTGAACTTGAGTAACTCGTGCTCATATCAGACTGATTTGATCAGATTTATGACCTGGTGTAAAAACACTATCAGCTGATGTGACCTGTCTGTGAGCAGAACACCCTCTGCTACAACATCATCTCAAATGATCCTCACACTTCCTTCCACCCCTAATATAGATGTGGCCATTTACAGGAGGGGTTATTTTGGACATCACTCTTATTTCAGAGCATGCAAATCAAGTGGACCTGAGCCCAACAAAGTCAATGTGCACGTGCTTTGCTTGCATATTTCCGAAAACCACAATTGTCACTGTGAAAATGCTTCTTTTCTTGAAGAAAAAAAGTGTTTTATCCATAGGCCAATATTATCTTCGAGAGAGAGAGAGAAAGAGAGAGAGAGAAAGAGAGAGAGAGAGAGAGAGAGAGGGTTGAAACTATGTTGCTTCTTAGTTGACCTGACTGACCGAGCCAAAAGCAGCAGGAGAACAGGGGGTGTGACAGTGGTGTGACATAATGACATCAAACAGCCCATGTGGGTGAAAGGTCTGTTTACATCCCCCAGTCAAAAGAGGCATGTTGAGGGTGAGGGAGAGATACTGACAGACAGAGAGAGACATTATTATTATTACTGATTATTCTGATTTATCATTGCTGTTTTATCCATAAATGTTGATTGTTAAACTGTACAGTTAATTCTGATTTATTAATTAATATTTTTTTTATTTGTATTTAATAATAATATTAATAATAAGAAGAAGAAAAAGAAGAAGAAAGAAAGAAAGAAAGAAAGAAAGAAAGAAAGAAAGAAAGAAAGAAAGAAAGAAAGAAAGAAAGAAAGAAAGAAAGAAAGAAAGAAAGAAAGAAAAAGACTAAGAGAGAATTGGCAGGCAAGTGTGTCCATGTGAGAAGCTGGGAAAGGTGAAAAAGTGGCGAGAGAGAATGTGACTGAGAGAGATGGAGTGGTTGACAGAGAGCAATTGGCAGGCAGGAGAGTGTCCATGTGAAAGAGAAAGGGCTTGTACAAAAGAGCAAGAATGAAGATTACACACATTACCCAACACCATCAGATTAGTACAGAACAATGGAGCCTCTCACTATAATCTAACATCCAGGAAAAACAAAAATGTAACGTAACGTGCATTTATATAGCGCATTTATTGTGTATGGCCATAAACCCAAATCACTTTACAATCATGTCATTACATTTTTTACATGTTTTTCACAACTATTTTATTTAGTTTTTTAGGGCAAAAGTATCTCCAGCAGAAAAGTAACCTACACATCAAAAACTACTGGTCCAAAATATTTTAAATGTTTCTTAAATAAAATAGATTGTGTTTAATGGGGAAAAAATAGTTTTTTTACCCAGACATTTTAAAACAACATTTTAGAGCAGTAAACACAATACTGAGAAACTGTGATAATTTTATCCAAGGTTATCATACCATCAGAATCTTATACCGGAACATACCTACATGGGGATGCTATTCAGAGGGAGAAAATTGGGCCAGGACACCAGGGTCACACCCCTACTTACAGGAAGCAACATGGGACCACAGAGAATCAGGACCTCAGTTTAACGTCTCATCTGAAAGATGGTGGTCACTGACAGAATAGTGTGTCCCCATCACAAAACTGGGGCATTAGAACCCACACAGACCGCAGATTAGGCACCTCCTGCTTGCCTCATTGACGTCCCTTCCAACAGCAACATAGTTTTCCCATGTGATCTCCCACCAAAGTACTAACAAGGTTCTGCTTAGCTTCAGTGAGAAACCAGTCTTGTGCTGCAGGGTAATATGGCTGTGACCATAGAATACAAAGTACTTATCCACACAATACATCATTACACGTACACACACTCTTAAATATTAAATGCACAGAGATGCACTTCTATTTTTTCCCACATGTTTTTGTAATTTAACATTTAAGCGATAACCATTTAAAAAAAGCATTTTATTTTGTGTTTGGGTCACTTTGGACCCAGGTTTGTATGGAGCACTTTTCTGTCAGAAATCCTTTTTATTTGTTTTCTTCTGAAAGCATGTTAAAATTTTTTTTTTTATTTGAAAAAGTAAGTATTTTACAGTACTTTTGAAACACTCAAAAATGTCTCTGTCAATGTTTTTAAAATATTATATTTGATTTAGCAGTCACACAAGTGCCATTTTCACATCAGTCACATCCATAGCAACACTCTTTCCTCAAAAATGCAAAAATGTAAAATAAAATAAATTCAATAATTTTTGTTCTACAATCAGCCAACTCTCGTCTTTTTAATTATAATTATTTCTTTTGGCTTGTGCAGTTTAACTCCCTGAATTTCTACAAAGTATGTTGTACATTGTAAACTTGCAGACTTTTTTTGGTCACATCCATAACGCATGCTTGTTTTCCTCATTTAAATTACAAAACATGTTTACAGATTGATATTTTTATGATCCCATAATTCTGTTGTTAGTTGCTCTGGAAAATATAAACAGATGTTTCAATATAATGTTAACATACTCTTTCTCTGTAAATTTATGTTGAGCTTTTACTGTAAATGTCACATCCATAATGCTGGAAATGCTCATATTCCAATGATATTACTTTATGCCATTCTAATACTGTCGGTGGTTCATCAAATATCCATTTAAGAAATATACTATTAGAGGCAGCAGCATAGGTCAAAATGTTAAACAACTTCCTGTTTGTTGCACTCATATATATATATATATATATATATATATATATATATATATATATATATATATATATATATATATATATATATATACACACACACACACACATATATATTAGGGGTGTCAAAATTAATTGTTACTTCGGTGCACCGCAATGCAGACGCGGACAATTCTGTATCAGTTCAGTAATAATCATAACCGGTTATTATGTCCTGACGTCATTTATCTCCTATGCGCTCTGTCGCGAGGGAGGTGAGCGCGAGTATATACAACACTCAGCCAACTCAGGCCCGTGGCATAGACACCATAGGCAAATGCTAAAGGCGCTGTATATTCAGGGGGGCGCCAGAAATGAGCGCGGTTCAGTTGGTTTTGTTTTCGATATTCCTGACACACATTCAATTATAGACGGCATTAACTCAAAAAACTCTTACCCTAATTAGATCTAAAGTGTGTTTCCTACAGAAAGACAGCTGGTTATGTTTCACAGCTGTCTTTCTTTTTTTTTTTCACTCGACATTACGAGCACTGCTCCGTTTAAGCCCTCGCAATATGCGTTTAGCCGGGAGAGCTCGCGCTGAGAGGAGCTCTCAGTAAGGGACCGTCGGAAAAGGGCTTCTTTTTTTCGTTTTTGTTCGTTTTTCTGCTCCGCTCAGCTCGAGCTCTCCCTGTTGCGAGGGCTTAAGTGCGTGTGTGTGTGTTTGTTTGTTTGTTGCTGTCTATGTTTGTGTATGTGTTTGAATGAGAGACAGTGTGGTGCTGTGCGTGTGTGTTTATACAGACAGCATGTTATTGCCTCCCCCCTAAAATATAATACTGTATATGGAAAGCTTCGTCAATGCACCGTGATTCACCGAGATATCGAATTGAACCGAATCAAAGGCATGATAATCGTAACCGAACCGTGAGACCAGTATAGGTTCCTCTAATATATATATATATATATATATATATATATATATATATATATATATATATATATATATATACACACACACACACACACACACACATATATATATAAACATATATATATATACACATACATACATATATATACATACATACATATATACATATATACACACACACACACACACACACACACACACACACACACACACACATATGGATTTCACATTTACTGACTAAATGAAAAGTTGCTAATAAAAATAACATAAATATGTTAAGATTTTACTATGTTAAAAATATGACTTGAGTTTAAACATCCCTTGTATGAGGAAATTAGAAACAATTTTGGGATGCATTACACGTGTTAAATAAAACAAAAAAGTAACGTTTATTTCAAAATAGCCTTTATCTTCTAAGAATACCTTTGATCACAATTTAAATCGGCTGACTGCAAATAATGGAACAATAAAAAACAGTTGCAGCAACAAAGGTGTTTCCACATAAACAAAACACGGCTGGAGCTGGGGAATGTTGTCAAGCTGGCCTAGCATGCCGACACAGCTGAGACTTGCTAAACTCTATGAGCTCTGTATATTTTAGTGTTCACTTATCTTCTAAACCTGACATCTGTCGAATAGCATTTTTGCATTATCATAAACAGCAATACAGTATACAATACATCTAATGCATTGACAACATTACAGTTAGCGTATTATTCTGCAAATATAACTTTATCTGAAACTTTCAGATTAATACCAAGAAGTTAAGATGTCTTATAACATTTAACATGAGTATGAGATGATGCTTTCTTACCTGGCTTCCATGAACACTTCAACTTCATCCTGCTGATGCTAATCTAATACTTTCAGATGCAAACCCAACAGCCCACAAAAGCAGACAAAATTTAATGGTTCCTTTTGGCTTCTAATCGCATTATAACTAGGCACTCAAAGTTATATTCTTGGAGTCGTTTTGTTAAAGTGAACAAATGTGGGGAATTTCTGCATACTGCACGGTGGGGGCGTTTCTGTCTGGCCCTTTAACGCGGCCACGCGAATACAAATGCCACGGGCTGATTGGTCGAATGGCGTCGAGCCTTTGCTTCATGAGCGACTCCAGCACACCTCCTGACTTCACATCGACCAATCAGAGAGCGAGAACAACAGTCTCATGGGTTTCACCAAAACAATAGACACTTACAGACGTTATAATGACAGTTTTTTCTGTGTTGGTCAATGCAAGTGCCAGAGCCGGATTAAACAAAATAGCAGGGACGAATGATTTTAATTCATATTCGAAAAACACTGTTTTGTCAATAAGACCACATCGAGAGAGTGAAACATACAGCAAGTTTGATTTCTGATCAAATGACTCATTCGATTCATTCTAATGAATCATATGCCGTGTGTCCAGAGCCCGACTCCCAGACGAATGATTCGTTCAAACAAAACAGTTCTTATGAATCAGTCCGAATTATTTGACATGTTTAATAAACTATTGCTTTCGACCTCCACTCGAAATTTGCTCTAGTACTAACGTTAATCACTAAACAACAGTGATTGAGGTAACGTTAACTTACAGTTGGTTTTATATTTGCACATTCGTTCCTTGAAATGTCCCTATATTGTTTACCATGCTAATTTGAACATTCGGTCATAACTAGCATGCAAGTATGACTTGCAAAACAAAATAAGCACTATTTAAGTGACTGTAAACAGTGTTGTACCTTGATAGCCATTGGCTGCTAATATGATTTCACTATTTAGAATTTCCAGACTTTTCTGAAATTATATTATTAAAGAGAAAGTCTGAATATTCGAATGCAAAACCAAGTTAACCTCTATACTACAGTGAGGCTGATAAACTCGACACTTAATTTGGACTGATGATTTGGCAACACATATTTGAAGGCAGTTAAATAAACAAATCAATCAATCTGAGGAACGTTCACCCTTAAAAATTGCATCAAAAGCTTACTTAACAAACAGAGAAATCGAACCTATTGCAAATTTCCTTCTCACCTTTGATCTCTAGTTCAAAGTTTATGAGGTAAAAATGTTTTCATTTATATAACATTTTAAATACCTTATTGTTACAATATAAGCATAGTCTTTAAATACAGCTTCTGTCTACTAATATGCACCATTATAGTGACATTTGTTTTAATCCAACTAAATATTAAATTTAGGGGTTGTGCAAAATCGCCTGTTTAAATCATTCCTCTTGCAACACTGTTAAATAATCCCTTGTGTGTAATATTAACAGAGTGCATTTTATACTGCACACACCGTGTAAATCTAATGTGATTTTAATAACACTGTGCTGTAAACTTACGTGGTCGGTTTTTCCTCGCCGATTCCAATCGCATCCGCAGTCGGCACCTCTTTGCCGGGGACCCGTTGATTTGTGGGTCGTGGTGAAGATGGTGGTAATTATCGTCCGTCGGACTGTACGGGCTACAGCTCCCGTTGCTCAGCTGTCGCCGGATCGGCTTGTGCATGCCATTTTGGTAGCAAGGACTCGATCCTTTCTGATCCATCACTGATTTGGCCTTATCCATATTTCAGTGCACAACGCGCGTCTCCGGTAAGGCTGGAGGCGAGACTCAAACACACACACAGGCGCGCGCTGAATGTGTTTATCGCGCTCTCGAGATAAGGAAAGGCTCGTTGCTAATGACCTACAGCAAATGCACAGATTTAACCTAAAAACGGCTATAACAACAGCGACGGCAATAATAAAGCCACTTTATTGCATAAACTGAGTACAAAACGATGAGAGCAAAACATTAACGCACATTGCCGTCGAGGTCATTGTCGGTCATATTTCTCGAGCTCTGCGGCAGCCGAGCCACCCCGTCAAACACCCGGCTCATGACGTCACTCAAAACGGCTCGACGAGCCACTGCGCGAGCGGAGCATTGCGCCGTGCGCGTGCACTTAAACTACCGTCTAATAATATCGCTAAGAAATATTCAAAGTACAAAACGATATTTCCTCACGAGCCAGAGGTAACAAGGTCTTTACACGTGTCCCCTTAGTCTGCAGTATTATTAGTAGGGTGTACGGCATGTCCGCCCCGGTCACTCCTGGGTTGAGTTGAGAACTCTGTCGTTTAATTAGTCATTCCATCCATCCATCCATCCATCCATTCATCCATCCAGGGGCGCAACTACACATTTATTGAGGGGTATGCGGGTTCAAGTTTTGCACCCCACTACCACTAATCCAACTATATTTTATAACAGTCAAGTGATAGTGCTAAAATTTTCCATCAATATATTAAAGATATTTTTTCCTCATCAGCATGATTCAAACAAATACATTGCATTTCTGAACACAACTGAAATAGTATGAAGTAGTAAAAGTATAATTACACTAAACATGTTAAGTCACAATGAATTACATCTCATCCCAACCCAAATTTCTTCTCAATTTTAATTTCCTTACTAAATGATTAAAGCACCTTGACGTGCCTTGCTTCTGTACTTTTTGTATATTTGTGAAAACAAAAGGATGGGAGTCCTAAAGCGCAAAAGAACACAAAAATGCAATCACTTCTCATATGCGAGGTGTAAGGTCTGTCTTTGCATTAACAATTGTCTGAAACTTCTATTACACCTCTCACAAGGTGGAATAAAAAGACTTTCAAATGTTTAGTGTAAACTAAAACATAACAATAACAACCTGCCTAAAATGTTTTATTTTATCAAAACTTTATTGGCAAACTTTTTTTTGTAACTAAAATTAATTTAAAAGTTACCAAAAGGCCTGATATGTCAATATGATACATAATACAATTATAAAAAACATCTATATGGTATGAAAATGGATCCTGATAGAAGGATTAATAAACATTTCAGCTCCAAAAAAAATCTGAATATTATGACTATTTGTTCATGTGTAAGTTTTAACAGGGTTAAGAATCATTATAACCAAGTATATACAATTCATATAGGGGAATTTGTAATCCCAATATTATCTTCTATTTTATCTGAAATATATTGAAGTCTGTTCTTACATAAACATACATTTGTGTAATCTCTCTTATTTTGGCAAAATAATTATATAATTAATAATAAATAAATTTTTCAGATTAATCATAACATTTGACCTCAACTGTACTGTATGCATAATTTGACAGTTTATTTTGGGAAAAAAAATCTAAACAGTTACATCTACATAAACACTTTACACTTGGCTGTGTGACTGCATGTTATTGTTTTAAATGTTTTTGAATCAAAATGTGTGTGTATGAATGTATGAAACTCATGGTTTAATTTTTAATTTAATAAAATACAACATTATACTTGTATAAAATGCAAAATAAACAATTTTAACAAAACATATTTATCAAATTTTGTTTTGAAACTTTTAATAAGGATAATTTCAAAAATCGTTTTGGCACAATGGCGCGCCCCCTATGCGCCGCATATACTGCATGCGCCCCTCCCTCTATCTATCTATCTATCTATCTATCTATCTATCTATCTATCTATCTATCTATCTATCTATCTATCTATCTATCTATCTATCTGTCTGTCTGTCTGTCTGTCTGTATGTCTGTCTGTCTGTCCGTCCGTCCGTCCGTCCGTCCGTCCGTCCGTCCGTCCGTCCATCCATTTATCTATATATCGTTTAATCAGTCATTCCATCCATCCATCCATCTATCTGCAATTGAAAGCAAGTTCCCTCAGAATGAATGAGGATGAATGAGGGTAAAGGGGAGTTTCAGTTAAGTGGTTCTCAGGTATCAAGAAAGTATCCTAGAGATGTGTGTGTGTGTGTGTGTAAGGGAGAGAGAATGTTTTAAAATTTATTTAAGTAATAAAGGCTATTTTTGTCCTGTGTTCTAAAATAAATTATACATCTCGCTAATAAATTCAAACACTTAAGGCATTTGCTTGACTGACCTTTGCCTTTGGTCTATAAAATTCTGTTTCCTTCTGAATTGTTTTTTATTTTAGTACTCAAAAAACACACACTGTCTGCAACTGTAAAAAGTACATATGATTTATCACGAGCCGCCACAGAGGAATGAACCACCAATTACTCTCTGGCATGTGTTTTATGAGGCAGATGTCCTTCCAGCACTGAGATTACACAAACTCCTGAATCCCCAGTGGTGAGAAACACCCACAATCTCTCTCACACTATGGTCAATTTTAGTTTATCCAATTCACCTATACCGCATGTCTTTGGACTGTGGGAGAAAATGGAGTACTCGGACACATGCAAACTCTACATAAAAATGCCACCTGTCCAATCTGGGACTTGAACCAGCGACCTTTATGCTGTGAGGTGACGGTGCTAACCACTGAACAAAAACATTTTTAAGTGCAAGTCTCCAAAAACCAAAAACATGACTATAGTCAGTGCAATAAGGCACTTTAGAACAGCATGATTAACATTAAAAAGTGTGAAGAACAATTGCATTAAATTTCATTTCACTCATACTCTGGAAAGTACTGTGGGTGGTACTTTTCAGAATCATTTAATCCCAAAATAGCCACAGGGCTGAGAGGAGCCAAATTATCTAGGAAGCTAAAGATAATGTGACATCATTGACCTCAACAACTACTTGGAAAGACCAGAGAGAACTAGACACCTCTGCTCTGGCAATATGTGCATGACAATGTTTTATGATCTACAAAGCAATCTATAAAATATTATTGGATTCGGTCAAAATAAAGCAGATATTGTGGAAATATTTCACATAAACATGTGTAAAATCTTTATTTAGAAGATAACAAAACCCAAGTGAATTCTTAGGAACTCATCACACTGAAAATTGTAACAAGCTTTCTCGTCCAATACGTTTTATGTATTATTGTTTTAGCTGAAGACTACCGTTCTTACAGTCAAAACAGTCATTTACTTCAGCAAGTTTTCCTGGAACGCATGTGTACATCTCTTGGATTGATTTTTAGATATCCAACATTCATTATTAAAACCAATGTATCGTTTTAATAAATCTATTAAAACAATACATTTGTTTAAATTATGAATAAATGAATTGCCTGATGACAAGTTTCTGCAGTATTTTTCCTTTGCAGCCTTCTTTGTCTTCCATATTATTCAAGGAATGCACGTATTTTTGATGAGACTGTTTACCAAGGTATTTCCCTGCTGTCCCATGCATAAGCTTTCCCTGTTTTGTCTATATTTAGATTGTCTATAATGTTCATAAGGCACTGGACAGAGTACTCTGTACTAAACAGCTTGTCCTTTTGTACATTTCGGTGGTATGGTCGAGATAGATCTGTATTCACAGTTCCAGGATGCAGAGACACACAAACAATTTTAGAGCGTCCTCGGCCCAACTCAATGGACAGGTTTCTGGTGGCCATGTTTAAGGCGGCTTTAGACATCCTATAGCTGTACCAGCCTCCAAGAGCTGAAGAAAAAAGTACATAACACAAATGTTAAGACAAAAAAAGTCACTATGTGGCTGTAACTCTATGTTCACTTACAGTCACTCACAGCATGCAACAATAATTATGTAGGTGTAATTAATCTAAGCCCTGCTCTAGAAAAAAGCATCATATTCAAACGCTGTTTTGAGAAAGTACCAAAAAAGTAACTGAATAACCATTGTGAGAAAATGGTGTGATCATTTCTTTGTATCCATATGAAGAAACTTAATTGCAGGGCCAGTGAGATTTTATAGTTTGTATCCAATTGAGAAGTTACTATTTCATGAGGCCAAAGGGCAGATCAAACAAATGAACCAGTTGATCCATAAATTACAGGATATCAATGAGCTGCCACAAGAAAACATTTCCATATTTTAAAGAGGCTTTAAATATTATTCATTCTATATGCAATACATTGTTAATGAGCTTCACATTTGGAAGGATTTGAGACGTTGTGAATAAATGTCAACTCAATTATCATCCTATCACTACAGCTTCCCAAGACGTTTTTCTCTCCAAATTGGTACAGTACCTACATCGTTTCATGATGGACACCTGAAATGACTGGGAGTCGATTCAGGTAACAGCCTTCATTCAATACTGGACCATTATGTGATATATCTTTGACAGTTATGTTCATGACAATTTGTTCAAGGTCAAAATATATTTACAGGTGGTCGACAGTGATTCTGCGTAGTCCTACTCAAGACACCATCATATATATATATATATATATATATATATATATATATATATATATATATATATATATATATAGATAGATAGATAGATAGATAGATAGATAGATAGATAGATAGATAGATAGATAGATATGAAGTCTTATATAAAAAAAAAAAAAGAAACAAGCTTAAACCAGCCTAAGATGATTGGCTGGTTTTAGATGGCCATTTCCTTTACGTTATTTTCCTTGCCTTTATGTAATTGGTCAGGCTGTGAAATTACCAGCTAAAACCAGCTTGACCAGCCTGGTTTGAATTTGGAGATATCTGGTTTTGGCTGGGCTTCCATCCTAGCCAGGCTGCTGGTCATTTCCCGGCCTGATTAGATAAGGCCAGGCTGGAAATGGCTGGTCTACCAGCTAAAACCAGCCAACATCATTAGGCTGGTTTAAGTTCAGTCATTAGCGTCCAGCAGTGAAACTCTAAGGCTGTATCTCCATATTTCTGTCCGAGCAGCTAGAGAGATGAATATAATTGCATATTGATCTGAGGAATTACGCTCTATTAATCTGCTTCATTTTTGCCTGAGACGCAAATGGTATATGAATAAAGAGCTGGCGGAAGCACAGAGGCAACACAATGCCTGTCCGGCCATGATTTTCCATAATAAATCTCCAGTGTAGCTTCTTGTCACATCAGATTGAGCACACACAAACATATTGTGGCGCAAACACAAGCAATACATCACGAGTGCTCAATACAGTAGAATATACAGGATGGAGTGCTGGTGTTTTACCGACTCAATCTACTAGCAGCTGTATCAACATATCATATTTTCTACAAGTATAAAGCAGAGTTTGCACCTGACTTTGTTAATGCACATGGATACAAACCGTTGTCTCCTATTGATCCCACTCGAGCGGTCATGTTCACCATGATGCCACTGTGCTGTTTGTCTTTCTCTGGAGGCTGCAGACCAAACGCCCCTGTTCCCCTCTGAAGAAGTGGGGCAAAATACTTGGCCATCACCAGTGGACCCACCGTATTAGTGGTCAAAGTAGAAATGACACCCTGTAAAAAAATAGCACAAGTGACATTTTTTACATGTCTAAAAACATACATATAATAAAAAAATTAAAAAGCCCACATTGCTCACCTGAGCTGATACATCTCGTAAACTTGTTTCTCCTTTACCAGACGGATGAAGCATAGCTGAAGAATTAATAATCAAATCCACTTTTCCGAAGGCAGTTTTGACACTCTCGGCTGCGGTCTTGATGTCCTCTTCACGGTTGACATCCAGTCTCAGTACGGTCAGTCTGTCCGCATGCTGCGCGCTCAGGGCGGACAGCTCATGTGCGGCGTCCGGGTTTCTGCATGTCGCGATAATGGCTGCTGGAGATTTGTTTAAGAGCAAATATCGACAAAACTCTAACCCCAGACCCCTGCTTGAGCCCTGCACGAGTGCCACAGCAGCCATGACGACTGACGAAAATAAAAACAAGAAGCACGTGAATTTTTGTTGACTGCCCTCTATGGGAGGATGAAGGACACTTACACAACACACTAGTTTTATAACTTTACTTTTCCAGACGTGTTTCCGTACCAGATGATTGAGTAATAGAGCAAAAACGACAAGTTTGTGTTTTGCAGTTTAGGGAATAAGATAAATATTACTTCTGCATGTAGCCTACTCTATCACATACTGCCCATTATAAATAAATATTTAAATAATTTAACAAACAAATAAATAAATAATTAATTAAACAAACAAACAAATAAATAAAAAAAATAATTTTGAATAAAAAAACAGCAACAATGTATTTAAGATGGTATGCTTTCTATATTATTGTCATTAGGCTAAAAGCTGTAGATAAGATTTAGAAATTACAGAACTCTTAAAATGTGTGGAATTTCATTGAATTTGACGCAAAACAAATTGGCATCACAAAGTGGAAATTTTACAGGTATTTATTTCAGCATTCCTCAAGAACACACAGGTGTCCGTGCAAACCACATATGTACTACAAATGCGGCCCATGCACGCACGCGCACCTGTGATCTCGTGCATTTGTGTTTGTTATTTAGCCGCTGGGAGGCGACAGTGCAACTTATATCTAGGCTACATTAAACTTCAGGAGTGTGGTATGCCATGCCTTACTTTGTGTTGATTACAGTTAAAAGAGAGTTCTAGTGGTAGACCATAAACATTACACAAAATAGAACAGATGAATTAGATCTTACAAATAGTGAATAACAAACAAAGATTGTCTTTATTTTATATATTTATATCAATATATTTAATTAAATATAAAATATAAATCATATTTGATAACCGTTTTCAATGTCAATATGTATGTTAGACAGACCATTTAGAAACATTTAGGCGATTAAATATATCTATTTACTATTTAGATACTAATTTTAGTATCTAAAACTGATGCATTTAAAAAAATCAAGTAAACAGCTCATTTCACTTTGAGAGTTACAAAAACTCCTACAGGCAAAAATAAATGTATATGAAGTATGTTGAATTTAATGACAAAATCTAATAACTGCTCCTGACAATATTTCAAGGCCTCAAAGTGCAAGAAAATGTATATTATGATATTACCTTTAAACCAGAGTCTTATGCAGCAAACAGTCGTGAGCGCATTCACACAGTCTGGAGTGTGAGCTTCCTCACATAGCCTACAGTATGACGTAGATAATGATGTAGGCTTTACAAGCACAAACTCACACATGAGCTGATGTCATTTGCTTATTTTTCTTTATAGGTTGCAACATTTGGGATAAGCACAATTTAGATGAACAATACAATATAAACATCTTCTCTCTCAATACTAAAAAAATGGCTTCAGCTTAATGTCAGTTTGCACTGTTTGCCATAATGTATGTCAGGCTCAGGCTAAGTTCACCCAAAAATGAAAAATCTGTCACCCTCTTTACTCACCCTTAACTGTTCCATACAGGTTTAAGTTTATTTCTTTTGTTGGACACAACATAAGTTATTATGAGGAAAGCTGGAAACCTGTAAATATTGACTCATTGTTTTTTGTTCCCATTGAATGATTACAGGTTTTCAGATTTCTTCAAAATATCTTCTTCTGTGTTTAACAATATAAAGAAATTCAAATGTTTGGAGTACAAACTAGTAAATCTACTGAGTAAGTTTTAATTTTTGATGAACTATTCTTTCAAGCGGTGAACTCACTCAAGAGGACCATTTGCAGATAAAAAGGTTTTTTATTTGTTGCTGCAAACACTGGTTATGCTTAATGTACCCTCAAGAGCTATGGCTGTTCATTTAGTTTATATTGTTTGACCTGTGTGTTAATTTTTGACTCTTAAAGTGCCATTGACTTTCATTTTACGACTCAAGGACTACGGTTTTAGGTAAAATGTTTAATTACGTAATTTACAACTTGGATGAGTAGTAAACCCAACTTTAATTTCACAAAATGTTTAAACAATACAGGCCCGTAGTCAGGGAGGGGGGTTCGAGTGGTTTGGAAGACCCACCCCTCACTGACAAAGCTCCAGAATTTGTCCCAAACATGAGCTTACTTGTCCTATTTTGACTGCTACACCATCATAAATAGCGAAAACAACCTATTGAAAAAAGCAACGTGACACATATGTATGTCTGTCAACATCTCAAAAAAAGTGTTTAGTGTTTCATGACCCTTTAGGACCAAGCTGAATTCTCTGTTGGCTGTCACTTCGGTGTGACTTCAGTTAATCAGTTTTGTCCAATGCTAACAGATATTTTTCCAACATCCAGCTGTGCAACAAATCATACAATCCGACGTAAGAGAAGTCATCTTTCACGTATTGTTTTTTTAAAAGAGAAATAATTTTACAAGTAACTTTTATTGTAAATATTGGACCTCATTCCTGAAACAAAGAATGAGCAATAAGGTGTGAAGCTTCAAAAGTGGACCATATCAAAATAAATTTGAATACTTTTTTGGCTGTTGTTGTTAACCATGAATTTTCAAATAGAAAAGTAAATTGTGAAGCTCTACATTAATTATTATGCTCATTATGTTTTAATTATTTTTTATTTAAATATCCAAAGTCTGACTGAGGAAAGTTGAATGTGGTGCTCAGTTTTTAATTTAAAACTTTAACAGATTTCTATTTTTTTTCTAATGATATATGATGTAATAAGTTTGTATTTTATCACATGTTAATGAGCTGTTATCTTCAAGGAAAAGGTTCAGAGTACCTTATTAAAAATATATAAAAACTCTTTTTATCCGGTGTGCGTTAAGCTATTAAATAATGGTGGCTTAGACCGAGAGCATCTGTTTTGTTTATCTATGTGTATATATGGAGGTGGGTTTTTGGAGGAGGGGGTATAGATATATTCATTTAAATTCTCGTTTGTTTTTTGCATGTTTGTATTGTTTTACTATGTTTGTGATAACTGCAGCTGAGGGCAAGAGCCCAAGAAAAAATTTCCCTAACTGGGACAATAAAGTTTTACCTTACCTTACTTTATTTTAAAAATAACTACTTTTGTCATATTTATTTATTCTAAATCTTTAGTAAATATTTTGGTTCATTAAAAAGTGTGGTTATTCTGACCATCTGACAAGCTAATTCAGCTAAAAATAGTGCTTAAAATGTCACTAAAATGCAGTATTTAAATCTCATAATTAAATAGAAAATGGTGAATGACTGCAAAAAGGTCCAATTTTTTGAGAAAAAAATTACCATCCCTTTCAACAGGCTGGCTACGGGCCTGCATTAATGTAACTTATAAAAATGAACCTATCATGTTGTGAGTAAAATACAGGAATTGTAATAGCACTCTGCACACCGGTTCATACTTAAAAACAAAACCATGAATTTCACTTTTTGGCTGGAACATGGTGTGCGAAAATGACGAACAAGTGATCTTCTCTAAAAATAGAGAAATTAGCCGCGCGTTAGCGACTGAACGGTAATCGGATGCGCATCACTCATTGCGCGCGCATCTGTGATCTCGTGCCATCATTGGGAGCTCGGAAAAGTTGATGGATAAAAGGAGCACGGCATGGTGCTGGGCGATACCAACAGAACTATTATCGCGAAAAGCCACGGAGAAACTATGAAGTCCTTAATGGCTGAGGAGCGCGCGCGAGAGACAGGAGCAAGTGTGGAAACCTTTAACGGCATTATGATCTCTGAGGTCCTCGTCCCTCGCCTATTCAAGATTGCGCACGAGTCTGGAGAGGTGGCAGTGGCTGCAGGCTCCGGGTCCATGGATATGAAGCCCTCCAGCTCTCCGATCCTTCTGGAGATGATGGAGGTGGCGAACGGCACGCGCTGCGCGGAGCAGATCCTCAGCTATGGAGAGGTGGAGAAGGTGCTGATCGGTGGTGTGCTGACCATGCTCACACTCATCACCATCTGCGGGAACATGCTCGTGGTCATTTCTGTTTGTTTCGTGAAGAAGCTACGACAGCCCTCTAACTATCTTATCGTGTCCCTTGCGCTCGCGGACCTCTCCGTTGCGCTCGCGGTGATGCCGTTCGTCAGTATCACGGATCTGATCGGTGGACGCTGGATTTTTGGCAAGTTTTTCTGCAACGTGTTCATAGCCATGGATGTGATGTGCTGCACCGCGTCCATCATGACACTCTGTGTTATCAGCATCGACCGGTGAGTGTTAATTCTTAACAGTGCACTTATTATAATTTTCATAATTATGATTAGTTTATTGATACATAAATGAACACATGGTAATGATTTTATTTTAAAAATAAAAATAATAATTAATTATTATCATTATTATTTTTATTATTTGTCATTTAGCCTATCAACAGTCAATATTATTTTCACAGTGTATTATTTATTAATTTGGGCTAATATGCTTCTTAAGACATTTTATCTCCAATTAAATTTAGACCTCAAATTAGTTATAGGGTGAGTTAACTTCTTTTAAAAAATATTATAAATGATCAATACAATATTTATTAATTGGTATGGGTTAATATTCTTTAAGATTAATAAAGATTTAATTTAAATGAATTAGGATATTAACATAAATTATTATAAGTATGAATGTCAGTGCTCAGCATAATTGAGTAAAACCATTTTGACATTTTTATCCATTTCTCAGTGAATATAAACAATGTATTTTGGTGCATTTAAACAAAACAGATTTATTAAACAGATATATTTATTAAAATAATATTTTAGTCACAAACATATTCAGAAATTGAAAGATAATACAGTTAAATTCAAGAAAAATATTGAAAAAAAATTACAACCTACAAAATTTCAACAAAATGTTTACATTTTTTGCTTTTCTTGATTTTTCCTCTTTTAAAAAAATACAATTAAATATTTTTTGATAACATAAATTTAGGTGTACTAGTTTTTGGACCATTATCATGAGTTATTTTGTTAGATTATCTCCAGATTTGGCTTCAGTACTGACTAATCTAATATGCACAGCACAAATATAATATTGTATAGCTTCCTATAAAAAAT